ACTCAAAAAAATTACAAAACCTTGGTACATTCAAAAAACTTAATTTGAAAATTATTTATTTAGCACATCCAACAGAGCATATTTATTTTTGCTTTTTGCATGGGGCCCTGCTGTCCTACATACAAATGCCTACATAACATTTACCAAAATTATAAAATTACAGGAATTATGACAATTGCATGCAACGGTTGGTAAAACTGACATAATTAAATTTTATATACATGAGCGTAATTATCTGTATATTTTCATTATTGTTGCTTTCATATTATGGAAGAGTGTAGTAAATATAGACAGTATTATACCAATATTGTAGCTTTCAGTAAGTGTAAATACTTATGCACTCCCCTCCCCAGAAGACACTAGTATTGTAAATTAGAAATACAAGGTGGTGACGACCAGGAAGGAATTCTAATTAATACGCTGATAACATGTTGGAAATTTGCACTCAATTAAAGAGAAATCACCACTAAATTGCAACGAATTAATTTATGCATGCGGGACACTTTCACTAAATAAATTTACCAACTCAAATGTAATTTTGCCTTGTGACTGCCTGCTAATAATACTTCTTGGCACATGTATTACATAGCTTGACACTTTAGTGCAATTGGTCCTTAATTAAGTAGGGACAAACATAAGCGATGTACGCGAATAAATGGCACAATTAGAAAAATATTCCATCCCGCAAAGCAACCGACATGTTATGGCATATTTTTAGATATTTTAGATATGTTTATTATCAAAAATATTTATGTATGTAGGTGGCCTTGATTCAATTGATGCACAAAGATTCCACGCCCCGATTAGCGGGATATTCAATTTTGCTCCTAAAATTTAAAGCACACAAACTTTTCAATGAGATTTTCTGCAGAGTTAATTTCTAGATTTTCAGTCTAAATATTTTAAGTATTCTCCTGAATAATCGAAAGATGTGAGGCTTGGCCTATGCCATTCTCGTAACCACGAATACGCTGGCTTAGAAAAATACCATAATTGTCAAGTATCAAATTATCACGCTTAGCCGGAAGTGAACTTTCCCTGTGTACCCATCCATGCTTATGGACACTAAAATATATGCTTTTAAAGGTTGTATTCCTCGGTTTTTCTTTGAAACCAACTTCATCGGGGTTGGAACCATTTTTATAAAACTTATTTTCGAAATATTTGAGGACTCAGTGGCAGCATATTCCCCAGTTTCTGACATTTTCAAGAATTTGCAAACACTCCTTAGTTAGTTCAATTTTAGCAACAATTAAATATGAGCTTCTTAATTATACTATTAATTTCAAACTACTTGCACGCCTAAACACCACTAACCTTGACACACATACGCCGCGTATATGTATATTTTTCAAAACGAACGTCTACCTACCCTCGTGCATATATAAGCGAGAAATACACCAAAGAGTGCACATTGCATGAAAAACACTAAATATAAATTTCCACATCTTTTCCAAGTTTCAAATTTTCCAAAATGGCGAGACTTCTTGCGCGTTTCAAACTTCCTGACATCGACAAATCCTACGTTCCAATAATGGCCTCTGTTTCCAAGTGGACCCTGAATTCTTGGTGTATCCCAATCCGACCGGAATCTACCCTCGGCGAGTTCACCCTGATTAAAAACTTGCGCCATAAAATAATTTTCTATTTGTCCTTCTCTTCATATCTATTTTACGTTGTTACCTTCGATTTTTGGTTTTATATAAATTTCTTTGGACAATCTCGCCCCGTTTGGGAGAATCTTGTCCTAGTATGTTTTTGTATAGCAAATAACATCGTAGGCATACTTCAAATTATGATCTACTTTAGGCAAAATGAGGTGAAACAATCACTCGAAAATTCTTTCTTGATGGAGAAACGATGTCTTGCCTTGGGTAATGGTACAAGTTATATAAGCACACAGCATATTTTCACCGTGCAAAACTCTGAGGAGTGAACACCATAATACGGAGTCCATATTTTAAGTTTCTCATGGTGAAAATTCAGGTTTTTGAGAACTGAAATCCTTTCTGGAATCGTAAATTCTGCAGAAGTGCTCAAGTGCCAACCAATTGTTTGTCATTGGTTACTTGATCTTTAATGCTCATTTTAAGCAGATCCGTGAGAAGAATGTATGACATGTGCATTATAATATTTGGTCAACTTTATATTTTTCTGCATGAATTTACAGGTGCAAAAAATTATGTGAATCTGCCAATGCTGATATGCATGCATACCTCGATATTCGCCTTCCCTGCGCAATCTTTTTCATGTTTGCTAGCGGTTTCTTTGTTCCATGCAGTCCTCCATCAGTTGGAAGCGTTTTGTTCTATTCTTGCCCAAACGGTTGGACTGATCAAAGTTGGCCTTGGCCAGGTCGGCTCGTTAACGGACTAATGCATGCTCATGCGTTTTACGTGCTTGTATCTCTTCTCGTAACGGCGATCCCCTTAGTCATGGTTTATCCGTCAATCGTGATGGAATTGTGGTTAAATCAAATTGAACGATAATTTTTTGATTTATCTAATCAAATTGTTACACTTTTTGAGGGTGACTTTCAATTTAAAGTCAAATTTGCAGGCAATCAAAATTGGAAACATTATTCTGTAGAACAAAATTGGAACAATACAGGGTTGCTCAGGTTATGAAAAACTTGCTAAATTACGTTAAGCGTAATCCAATTACAGGTTTGGCCCTCGCTTTCATAATTAATGCTGAAATTGCGTCACTTTACGCAATTATCATGTGTCGGGACAAGCTGCCGTTACCTGTCTTGCTACTGTTTGCGATGAGGTTGATGGATTTTTTTCTTGTGATACATATCTACCTGCGCGCGTTAAGTAAACCTTACGTGGCTTCGGTGGAGTTTGTCGGTAATTTTAATCGGTTGGGGGGAATGGATAAGTGGAGGGGGAGGTTTCTGAAGTCATGCCAACCCTTGAAGGTGGCCATGGGGGATTGCAATTATTTTGATGGGTTAACCTCACTTGTAATTTGGCAGTTCTGCGTAGACTCCTTAATATCTATGATACTGTTGTAAGATTGCAATTATGAGTATTTCTGAGTATTAAAGTAAATGCCCACCATGTACCTAGACCTCAATCTTGTATAAATTTATATGCTTAAGATAAATTAGAATGTCGAATATGACTAGAGGTGAGTGGAACAGCGTTTTCGCACTCATGGATGACCTTACAGAGGGTGTCCCATTTATTCGTGGAATAGTTTCACAATTTTTTTACCCCAGAAGCGGATCTTTTTTAAAGGCGAAACTTGCTCTATATGACGGCCCTTGTTCTTAACTTCAAGTATGCATCGCTTTTTACCCGATAAAAATACTTCCAGGGACTTTTCTACGGTGTTTTTCTTTCACTCATTATTTTAAGCGTTCCAAAATGAGTCAAAATTCGTAAATCGTCGAATGTAAAAATTGTCATTCCACGATGAAAAATCCGAAATAAACCAATCGGTCAATGTCTGATTACCACCCAGGGTTATCTTGATTTTTTACGACTGCAGTACCAGAATCACCGTCGTCCGTTTCTGCGCACTGCTGAGTTTTCTCGGCAGTAGGCGCAGAAAAGTTTGTGGTCTTTGAATGCGCAGACCTACATAGGTCATTTTTGTTATAATATTTCCAAAATTAATAAGTTTTAATCAGTGTTTCGCTTGGCAAAAACCAGATTGGCCAGACCGCCGGTCAAAAGCGGCCAAAAGTGGCTTTTGACCACTTACCAGAATAGGTGGCAAATGGTCAAAAGTGGTCAAAAGTGGCCAAAAGTGGCCAAAATGCAAAAATGGGGCATTGTGCGACAACGAATAATGATAAATTAATGATTTGACATTCAGGATTTCATCAGGATCTAGCAGAGCAAGTTGAAGGCTACTTATCTATGTTTGATTGGATCTAAAATTTTAAAATTGGTTATTAACTATACAAATAAGCAATAAATTACACATTGCATCATTAATAATTGACACAGGAATAGTTATGAATTGACCAATTAAATGAGCAATTAAAATATTCAAGTATCGAGCAAATGTATAAATTACTTACTACATTTGTCCACGTTGAATTTATTAGATTGGTAATTATTACAGAATATTTCAATTACTTTGTAAGAACTATGATTATTCTTTGTGCAAAGAATAAATAATACTGGCCGAGAGTCTGTTTAACCCCGCCGCGCAAACAATTAGCCAATAGAATACTTTTGACCACTTTTAACCACTTTCTACCATTTTGGCCATTTTCGACCACTTTTGACCACTTTTGACCACTGGCCAACAAAAAACGATTTTAGCCGGCAAAAGCGAAACACTGGTTTTAATTAGTCTCGATATAGTTGATTTACTGCAATTTGCCCGTTGGACCATTCTGCATTGGGATTCGGGATTTTTCTGGAGGGTTAAGTCGCCCAGCCAAATTTTAAGATTATTCGGGCGTTCAGCAGTGGGTAGTTTTTCGAAGGTGATAATGATGTTAGACTATTGGGTTGAACGTGAATATGTCTATCACGCATTATTTTATAATTTAATTGCAAATTCATTTCATGGCAATATAATTCAAGCTTTGTTTTATACCGATTCCTGTGGAAAATCGTCTGGAAAAGTGTTTCACTAGTACCTCTGGTTCAGGGGAGCACAGTGGTCGCACTTTTTAAAATAAGTTTACAAAAAAAATCAGAAAGCTATTTTTTGAGCTGCTCTACACGAATTTGGCTTCAGGTTTGAATTTTATTTACCCGCCAGTGAGCACGGATGTCTCAAACCTTCACACGAATAAATGGGACACCCTGTATTATTAGTGAAATTTGTCTCACAAAAAAAGTAGAAAATCTTAATGAATTTAAAAAGTATAGTTCAAAATTACTTATCATTATGTAAAATTTACTACATTAAATTTTAAATTGTAAAATTGTTCTGTAAAATAATTAAATTTTGTAAATTGTTGTAAATTGAAATATTTTAAATATATAATTAATTATAGTAATTACCTTGAATTAGTAAAGTACTCTGACTTAACTCGTAAGATTTTTTATAAATCATAACAGTAAAGCAATACACAATATTAATAGGAAATTCCTGTAAGAAGATATAAAAGAAAATATTTATCATATCAAAAAATTACAAAGTCTTGGTAAATTAAAAAAAACAACATCATTTCAAAACTATTTAGCATATCATCATGTAAAATTTCATGTCGTAAATTGAATAACCACAATTCAACAAAATTCCTACTTCTCCAAGGTATGAATGTGCAGCTAGTGTTTCAGCAATTCGGTAAAAGTGACGAATTTGAAAAATTAATATCCAGGGGTCTCAGCATTGTGTCGCACCACGTGAACGGCTAGATTTCTTTCCGAGTGACTTTTGTAGTCGCACTTGTCGCAGGAATGGACCAGCTCTTTGGGATGTTTTGACACCACGTGACGCCTCAAGATCGATGCGTAGGAGAATCTCTGGTCACAAAATGTGCACGGATGATTCCTCTGATTTTCATGAATAACCCGAATGTGTCTTTGAAGGCCATCTCTACTGTTTAAAGTGTGCAGACAAAGTTGGCATTTGAAGGTTTCTCGGCCATCCATGTGTATATTCTGTAGAATAAATATGCTTTGTGATATTTTGTTTATTAATCTATTTTCCTACAAAATAACCATTCTCGACATGTTCATATCTTATACTTAACTCGTTGGTAACTTGCGCCATTGTTAAATTGACTGGCGCACGTTACCAATGAGTTAAGTATAAACCCACCTTTACGTGTTTCGAAACACCGCCCTTTTTCGCGAAGGTTTTTTTACAACCAGGAAATCCACACGGAAAACGAGGTCGTTCCTCCTTGTTGTGGATGATGTCAATGTGTCTCCGTAATTTGTCCTTGTTCGCAAATGTATTGTTACAAATATTGCAAACAGGTCGAATCCGGGTGGTGTGCATTTGTGACATGTGGGACCATAAGCTGGCAGGATTCTTATAACTCTTCCCGCAAATCTAAATACATGGACAACGAAGGAGGATTTATTAATTTATTTGAGATTACTTACATACAATTAGTCTTAAAAGTTAAATAACTCACCTTGCATTCGACTTTGGCATTTGGGTTGTGTTTATTCAGAAAGTGGTAGTCAAATGGGGTCTTGTACTTAAACGTCAGCGAGCAATGAATGCATTTCCACTGATTTTCTGGGTTTGGATCCATTCTGATAAGTACAATTACAAGAGGACAAAAACTGCAAAATTTCCGAGTTTGGCTCTCACCTGGAAATAGTGGGGAAACGCGATACAAGATTCGTAAAAAAAATAATCTTGGCGAAAGTATTTGTCGCCAAACTACGTATGATAAAATTTCTGCGACGACCAATGAGATGACGAAATGAAGATTAAGTTCACCCATGCAAAGGTGAAGGTCGTCACGGTTGATAAATTTATTTCAAATCTTTCATGTTAAATTAAGTTAAATGATTATTGGGAAACATGAGATTACAATAATCAATAAGCAATATGTAGTTCTGCACCAATACAATCTAGACCACGCTCCGTCTATTACATTTTTCTTAGTGAGGCAAATACCTAACAACGAAAAAAAAATTTGCTAAGGATCCTAAGTATGCATTTACCCAACCCCAAAAAAGTGACCACCTGCGATATTTCAGTCATTTCTCAACCGATTTTGATGAAATTTTGCACAGATCATTGTTGCGACACAATGGGTATGTTTCCCTGCTGATTTGAGTGTACAAAGTTGTGTGTCAACTGGAGCGACGGTGGCGCACATACCCATCTGTGTATTATTTAGTTGCTAGGTGAGAAGTGGTGGCGCTCGGGTGCAACACCTACCAGTGTATTATTAGTTGGTGAATGTGCATAGACGGCGCTCATAGTGTGGCTACTATCGCTCGTCCAGTACTTCTTCTAGATAGAATAGTATAGTTCTGTGTTGCGACATTTAGAAATGACCTGCGAACCGGTTTAGCAAATTTTGGATTTTTACCCGAGTTATAAACAAAAATGTGCTCACGGAAACACATTTTGATTTTTAGTTAGTTTCCGGAGCATAATATGTCAGATATTAGTTGCAAACATTTTAGAACTGCTTATTGTGCAAATTTTGATATAAATGTGATCAAAATCGACTAATAAATGACATAGATAATCTAGTTTGAAAACTAAAAATTTTTACACCTGCATAAAAATTATGCAGGTGTAAAAACTTAAATCCCATTGGCAACAACATCTAAAGATAACTCAATTACAAGTATTAAATAAACAAGCCCCCAAAAAGGGAAATCTTAGTGAGGCTTGATGCAACTATCAATATTAAATAAATTATTCGGAACCGCATTTGCATCGCCGCTCTCAACACTATCTTCACTATCTTCAGTTTTATAAAATAATATTGAGAGCGGTGTTGCAAATGCGGTTCCGAATAATTTATTTAATATTGATAGTTGCATCAAGCCTCACTAAGATTTCCCTTTTTGGGGGCTTGTTTATTACTTCTGTACATCACTTGCAAATGAAAATTAGTACAATACACCGAAAATAAAATTATAAACACAACGATGTGCATTTACTTCTCGATTCATTTTCGTTGAATGGCCCCTTTGAAGAAAAATATTGGGGTGCGCAAGGTCACGTGCCCGCCTCGTTGTTCGCCTCGTGGCGAAAAAAGCGAGAGAAAACTAACTCGAAAATTGAACTTCGCCGCAAGTATTTTTCTTTAAAGGGGCCATTTGGCACAAAAATAAGTGTCCTGTCATTCCTACTTTTTGGCTTTTTTTATATAACTCGTTAGCAAATCCTGGTGTAGTTTGAAAAAAGGTTCCATTGTTCATAAGTATACATTATTCATTCCTGTCTAAAATATAAGACAACTACACATTTATATCGGGACAAACAAAATCGCGTTTGGATGGTCGAAATTTATAGAAACTTAACGTTACGCAAACATTACAAGTTCTTTACAGACTCACCTGGCCTCACTGTGCAAGCGTGAATTAAAACTATTTTTGCAGGTGACGGAGGGCGAAATATAATTACATAATTAGCTTTTCTCCTGTTTTTACCATAATTTGCATACATATTTGAACTAAGGTAATTATTTGCAATTGCATGCAACGGTTTATGGCCAAGACATTTACAATTTCATGTCCGGAAGTGCGCAAATAATACAATATGTAATACCTCAAAATTGAAATAAATGGTTGAACAGTATGTCAAAAGTCAATCTGAACTTACAGAAAGTGAATTTGAATACCAAATTAAATTACTTAATTAAATCTAATTTTCTCTTAGAGGGCCTGAAAATGGTTCTTTTATAAATCAAGCCACTTGGGTGCAATTATTCCATAATAAGTACCTACGCACCTACATATATACATAAAGAATGTACCAGAATCGTTGGCACAATGCGGAAAGTATTCCTGTAAAGCAACCAATATTTTAGTAAATTTTAAATGATTTCCTTATGTTCATTATTCAACATTTATGGATTGATTCAAATAATTCCAAAAGATTTGACATCCAGCTCTGGGAAATGTTGACTTTTCAATTTTCGCAAGCTTTGTGCCATTAGTTCCCGAACATTCTTTAGTTAAATTATTGGAACATGGTTGGATTTTGTAATTATCTCATTAATTTATAACTACATACGCACCTAAAACATCAATCAACATTGATTTACCTGAACCCACGCGCATATATAAAATACAGAATAAACCCAAGAGGACACGCTACATGAAAAAGTGCATTTATAGTATTTATACCTATCTACGTACAAATTTCTACATGAAATCTCTTCAAAGTTTTATATTTTCCAAACTAGCGAGGCTTTTTACACGCCTCAAATTTCCTGGTATCGATAAGTCCTACGTACCAGGAATGGCCTTGCTTGCAACATGGTCCCTTAATTCTTGTGGCATTCCAATCCGATCGGGATCAACCGAGGGCCAGTTCGCCCTCCCTCAAAACTTCCGCCAGAAAATAAGTTACTACTTGTCCTTCTCGGCATATCAATTTTACGTTTCGGCGTTTAATTTTTGGTTTTATAAAAATTTCTATGGACAATCTCGTCAAGTTTGGGAGGATTTAGTCCAAATATGCTTCTTCATATCGGTCAACATTCTTGGTGTATTCCAAATTACGTGCTACTTTCGGAAAAATGAGATGAAGCAATTGCTCGAAAATTCGTTTTGGATGGAGAAAAGATGCCTGACAATGGGTAATTTGGGACTTTGCACTTGTTTTCGATCTTAATAATCCAATTATTTTGTGTAAGTTTAAGTACACATCTGAGAACAAGGAGTGTCCATATTAGTGCTCCGAATCCGATTTTGCCCGGATTCGGATTCGTTCGAATCCGGATTCGAGCAGATCCGAATCTCGAGCAGCGGGATTCGAATCCGGATTCGAATCCGATTCGCAACTTACTTAAACAAATTATTTATTAGGTTAAAAAAACCTTATTTATATTGTTTTCGCTACGTTGCTTAACACATAATTTATCGTACATATGAAATTGGTGAAATACTGCGCAGTATTTCAGAAGATTTTACATCTTCTTTGATTTCCACCCCACCTCACAATATATATAACTAGCCCCATAAACATTGAACTATGGGCCATAGCTGGAATTAGTCAGGGAAGTCTGGCAAACCTCGGCGACAAACTGACTTTGGCAATATTAGTCAGGCCAAATCTGGCCCATATACATATTCCCGTAGTCCGACACTCATTCTCTGGTCCACCCTTGGCCCATACATGAATATCCAAGTCTGGCTTGAGTCCTAAATAGTGAGTCTGGCCCAAAGCATTCTGTCCAAACTTTCCCCAAAGTAAGAAATTCATCTGTGGGCCAGAGTCGCCCCATAGTTTGCATCCCAAAGTCTGGCAACATTGCGGCAGTTATTATCCGGCCCACTTTGGGGAAACATCTGAGCATTATTTCATCTTTTTGTCAACGGACAACATTATTTTGACTCCGTCAGTCATTATTTCTCGCACCATGGCCATTAGTATTTCGAAAAAATTTTGTGTTGTGCAATTTCTAAAAGAAAATTCTTTTGCTGCCGTCCCCTCTAAATGGATCATTGAAGAAGAAGGAAACTTGATGTGCAGGTGGCCAAGAGGGACACAACTATTAGATTTAATTAAGAATCCTGATAGCATTCCTAAGAAAACGTGGAAGAAACTAGGAATCAAATTATTCCGGTCCTTCGGTAGTGGTGAGTTCAAATTACATTACATTCTGTTTATTATTTGTGTTCTGGATTTCTAATGTAATAAATATTGAAAAATTTACAGATGAATACGAGTTAGCAAACTTCAATGTCGACCAGGCCAAAGTAATTAGTGGAGGCGAGAGTCAAAGTGGTTCGCTGTCCAGCGACAAAGACGAGGTCAACGAAACGGTCGGAGTTAAGAAAACAAATAATATAATATCCACTGATCTGTCCGTTTCTTCATTAACTGCTCCACCGCTAGGTAATTTAATTGCAGCCTTATGTCATAATTATGGTTGTGCTAATTTTATTGTCCCGATAGATTTTAATCAAGATTTGGAACTCAGTCCTGTCAGCCCTACCACTTCAAACAATTTACAGGAACCAGTGATTTTGGTGGATGACCAGAGAGAAGGTTTTACACAAAATGGTGATAATAACTCTCAAAATGCACCTGATTTGTCTACTCCAATTTTAATTCAAACCCTTCCTTCAGAGTCTGACAAAGGTAGTTAAATAATAAATTGGCATGCTTTATGTACATATTTAGTTGTCAATTAACGTAAAAATAAATTCTACAGTGTTTCAAGAGACCGTGATAAAACTTTTGGTGGATCTCAAGACTGAAGTTGCTGTCCTCTCAAGTAAAGTGGCATCTCTAACTAAATTTGGAAAATTAGACAATATAAGTGCATTTCCATTTGAGAATGAGATGCAATATATTAAACGAACATTACGGTCCAAGCGTCATCCAATGCAGCAAATGATTAATAGAATTCACGAGAGGCAAAATAATCACAAAAGTAAAATCCCAGTAATTTATAAAGGTCTTGGGTTTAGTTTAAAATCTGGTTCCGTCGTTACTTGCAAGAAAGGGAACAATGTGGTCCTCTTGAATAGTGGTGAGTGTGTATTAATTAATTATATTAATAATGATATATGTGAGGGGTTTAAATTTAAAACAGTTAAAAGCTTGTATGATCATCCCTGTCAAAGTCAGAACGTACACATGTACTTATGTGCAGATATTGACACAAACAAGATACAATTTAAAAATAGTTGTGTAAAGTCAAAATGTTATATGATTCCTCATTTAGAATTGGACACATTTGTGTGTGTCGCGCTACTTTAATTTATGTTCTTTTAGTGTATCTAATTAATTTTGTTAAATGTTATTCATAATTTTTGTATGTAGCTGACGCTTAATTTAATTCAATAAGAAATAAAAACATATATGAAGGATATATATAGTATATATTTCTCTGGCATTCGATTGGCACATCTCTGGCTGACATATGGCATATGAAGCGAACCCCCAGGCCGAAGTATGGGTCACTTCTGGGATTACTTCGGCGGTTGATATGGGCCAAAGTTGGACCAGTCGCGAACCATAGATGGTCAATCTCTGGCTATTCCTTGGCCCTGTGTTAGGCTAAGTGCGGCCCATCTCTGGCCGACATCTCTGGCACATAGCTTTCCCTGAGGTCAAATCGGGTTCTAGGCCAGACTTCACCCACTTGCATGGGCCATACATGGGCCAAAGATAAAATGTTTATGGGGAGGGTTTCGATCAGGGCTTAAATCTAGGTCCAACTTGTCCTATTTGTATATCGGAGGTTGTCAAATAACTTTTAAGATTTAAAAATAAATGGAAGGAAGCACACAGATAAAAATTTGAGATAAAAATTTATTCAAGGTACTAAAAAAAAGTAAAGTAAAAAGTAAAAAGCTTTTGACTTTTTGACCATATACATATTTAATTAATTATATCAGTAGTTGGTGAGAAAAACTTCTGCTCAAAACCTTACAAAGTATGCTGACGTCCAAGTGATTTCGTCCTGGTATTGTCTTAGTTATTTCTTGTAATTGTGCTACCAGAACTACATATATTACGTGGTAATTTTGCGTCGACTTAATCGTGTTGAAAGGAAAGGGGTGGATGGACAGTCTAAAAATCGTCGTTTTTTATGTTGTAATGTATATAAAGGGTGTAATTTTAATCCGGTAACATGGATTTTTAGATCCCCGCTCGAGACAAAATCAGTCATAATTATTGATCCCGCTAATGTTTTTCTTTGAAATTTTTACCATGGGTGGAGTGAACATAGGTGTTAATAAAAAACACCATAAAATTGAGATGCAGGTCTTAGAAGCGGGAAAATCAAACGAATAATGAAAATCATCCAAAATTCGGATGTGCCGGAAAAAGTTCGTGGAAATGCGGGAAAAAATTTTTTTTAAGGATGAAAAATGACCCGAGCAATCCAAAAGGGTCCTACCTACCAGAAAATCAATGACTATACTCAAATTTCCTTAGTTAACTTGAAGTTTTTGTCCAAATAGTGGAATAATGGAGCGGAACAGATTAAACAGCGTAAAATGGATTAAATTAAAATCGTGCACAAATAGCCCATTGTGGTGAAAACTACCGTCGGATCAGCATTATGTGTTGACCGAACTTATAATCTAACCAATTAAAATCATCTGTCCCCCGAAAATAGTGACGGCCATGTTTCATTGATATGAAAGCTTTGAAATAATGGGAATTTGACTGCCTCAGAAATTTTTTCGCCATATCCTCTGGACCAATAACTCGCAAATTGAGTTGTATCCTAAATTACACTGACAAAATTGAACATACAGAACAGCAACGAAATTAAACCAATCGTTGATAGGGGTCCTGAAATTAGGGTATGCAGTTATGGTATCTAGTGGGTTTTGAGCACGACGAAAATCATCTTGCACAGTGCATGAAGCATAACCTTCAGGGCATGATCGAAGTACGTGGTGAAAAGACTAAATAGTAAGGTAACTTCTGAGGAAAATTAGGTTTTCTAATATCTGCAGTTTCGAAAAACAAGCATTTTCTTTGCAGTGAAAAAGGTTACCGGATTAAATTTACACCCTTTACAGTGTCGGACAGATGTCTACGTCCACATAGTCGCGTCAATTTCATTTTCAAATTGTCACTGAACTGCTGAACCAATTTTCATCATTGATATATCAAATTCTCACAAATTTAACGTAATTTCATAAAACATATGAGTTATTTCTGAAAATTCTGGGAAAACTGAGAATCATAGTGCAGAGCGAGAGAGGATGAAATTTGAGCGGACAAAAGTCTACGTCCACTTCACTTTAATTGTCAACAACAAAAATCTCTCCAATTTATAAAATCAGGTAACTTAATAAATCTATCAATAACATATGCCGCATTAATTTTTAAATAATTTTCTTCCAGAAAAATATGATGGCGTCGACACGCAAGGAAATTCCTATCGCTATTCGAGATCTTGTCATTCAGGACTGGAAGGGTGGACAAAAAGGGGGCTGTCGCAGAGACAAATATGGACCAAGTATAAATTAGCAAGGACAACCATCCAGACAATCATTAAGAACTTTAGAGCTAATGGTTCAGTCCAAAACAAGGTCAGAAGTGGTCGAAAACCGATTTTGGCTCACCGAGAAGTACGCCACGTGCTCAACAAAGTCAACGTTACACCCTCACTTAGTGCTCCAAAGCTATCTACCGAGATCAAGGAGATGTTCGGCAAACAGGTTAGTCCTATGACCATCCAAAGAACACTGAATAAGGGAAATTTGAAATCCCACAGAGCAGTCCGGAAGCCTCTTATTGTACCGAGGAATGCAACCAAACGAGTGAAGTTTGCCAGAGACCACATTTCCAAGCCACAAACATTCTGGGACATATTTTATGGACTGACGAGTCAAAGTTCAATGTCTTTGGGTCAGATGGGCGTCGTAGAGTGTGGAGATATCCAAAAGAAGCTTTGAATCCAAAAAATCTCAACCCCACAGTTAAGCACGGCGGCGGGTCGGTAATGGTGTGGGGATGCATGGCTTCAAGTGGGGCAGGAAAAATGGAATTTGTTGACGGAATTATGGACCAATACAAGTACCAGGGAATACTTGACCGTAATATCCAGGAATCTGTTCGAAAACTTGGACTTGGACGACGATTTGCCTTCCAACAAGACAACGATCCGAAACACTCTGCCACGTCCACCATGGAATACTTCAAGAAAAAAAAATTCCGAAGCTAGAATGGCCTCCCCAATCTCCAGACTTGAATCCCATTGAGCATCTGTGGGACCACATTGAAAGAGAAATAAGAAAAAAATCTTTTTCAGGAATTCCGGGCCTAAAATCCAGAATTCGTGAAGTTTGGGAAACCATTTCTGAAGATGTGACCAAGAATTTGGTAAACTCTATGACTCGACGCCTTGAAGCCGTCCTTAAAGCGAACGGAGGCCCAACCAAATATTAAAAATTAATTGTTATAACATTCCTTATAAATTACAGTTTTTTTTGTATGTTTTCTCTGACTGGACGTTGATTTTTGTCCATCCAATTGTTTTCATTTTGAATTAAAATACATCTCTGGCCTAAAATAAATTTTTTAGCGGAAAACTAATAATGTGCTATGAAATTACGTTAAATTTGTGAGAATTTGATATATCAATGATGAAAATTGGTTCAGTAGTTCAGTGACAATTTGAAAATGAAATTGACGCGACTATGTGGACGTAGACATCTGTCCGACACTGTATGTTCCTAATCAGTATTCTATCTTAGTGGATTGGAACAAAATTTGCTCAACCAAGTTAAAAATTTGAGATGTATATATAGGTTTAATTTTTAATAATAATAATTAATTATACTACCTTGTAAGTCATGTACATAAATATGTATAGTTGTCCCACACTAAATTTTAAATCTGAATTCCAGGTGCCACAAATTACGTGAATTTGGCAATCCTGGTATGTATAAACTTGGCGAAATTAACCATCCCTGGCGCACCATTTGTCATGTTTGCAAGCGGTGTCTTTGTCCCATGTGCTCCTCCATCTGTGGGAAGCGTTTTGTTCTATTCTTGCCCAAACGGTTGGATGGACCAAAGTGTGTCTTGGCCAGGTCGACTCGTTAACGGATTAATGCTTGGCCATGTATTGTACTTGGTTGGATCCCTTATCATAATTGTGTTCCCATTGGCCATGGTGTACCCCTCACTCGTCATGGAATTGTGGGTAAATGAGCTTGAAAGGTATTTTTTAAATAATTGACTTGTATAATTTTTCAAGGACGAATTTCAATTTGAATTCAAATTTACAGGCAAGCAAAGTTGGATATATTTGTCTGGAGTAGAACAAACTTGGAACAATACAGGGTTGCTCAAGTTATGAAAAACTGGCTAAATCACGTTAAACGGAATCCAATTACAGTTTTGATGCTCTCTTTCATAATTAATGTGGAAATTTTGTCGCTTTATGCAATTATCATATGCGGGGACAAACTGCCGTTGGCTATCTTGATGTTCTTTGCGATGGCCTTGTTGGATTTTTTTGTTATAATACATTTCGTGCTGCGTATATTAAGTAAACCTTACGTGAGTTCGGTTGAGTTTGTTCGTAATTTTAATCGGTTGGGGGGAAGGGTCGAGTGGCGGAGGAAATTTTTGAAATCGTGCCAACCTTTAAAGGTGAGCATGGGAGGGGACAAGTATTTTGATGGGTTAACGTCTCTTGTGACTTGGCAGTTCTGCGTGGACCAGTTCATATCTATTGTACTGTTGTAAAGATTGAAATAAAATTATTTAATGCGAACGAATGATACTTTACATAATAGTGAAACTGGAACAGGTTTTTTACCGTTTTCTTAAAAATTTTACCAGCTCGGTCTATCTAATTATTCGTGATGGACGGATTAAAGGGGTCAAGAGTAGGAGTAGATTACATTCACCGTACGGTTTGGAAGTTTACTATTTTATATTTTTAAATCTTTGGTAACAAAATTGTTAACGATCCTGATATCGCCATATACATAAAGACCGATAATAGTACTTCGAAGTACTATTATCGGTCTTTATGTATATGGCGATAATATCTCTATGTATCTCTATATCTCTATGTATATTTTTGCGTGTTCAATCGAAAATATACTGAAATGTGAATGTGGAGGCATGTGTTGCATGCATGAACAATGCATTCGTCTCTATTTGTGAGTGTGAGCCTTGAATAGATTTTATAAATTTTTAGCCTTAAAGTGTCATCATGACACTTTAAGATTACAGGTTTCGGGCCCCGGTCCGGTTTCGGATCAGGGCTGATCCGGACCAATCCGGACCATTGAGAACTCTAGTGTCATGGTTTTCAAACCAGTTTTGTAAACTGATATCCATTAACACTCGAATAAAGGTTGACTTGAATTGGCTTGAATTATGTACAAATAATTTTGCTAAAGTTCATGAGCTTTGATCGAGTGGCTAAACGTTTTAAAATAATTATTTCGAAACTACAGTGGTTTCGAAAAGGTCTCGAAATGTCATGCCTGAACTTTTAGTAATTTTATCACGGACAAAAGAATACGAAAAGGCTGCATACGCATTTAAAGGTACTATCATTATTAAATTTTCTAGTTTGACTAAAAACTTTAGATGTAAATATGCACGTGTATATCAAATCATGACACATTTAAAGCAATCATTCATAATTACATACATACATAAGTACTGCATATATCATCTCGGTAAGTTAATCAATAAGTTGTGGGAATGTTCACCATAAAATATTGCGCATTGGTAAACACGTACTCGTATGTTGTATGTATGTGTTTTCTGTTGTTCGACTTGTTATCGCAAAAGATTCCAGGGGTGAGATTATGCAAAATGTCAAGAGCTAATAGTTGTACAATTCCCAGAACACCAAATTTGGTCATTTACACATAAAGAAATCAGTGGCCACGGAAGTGTGGGGACAGAAGGACCATGCCCCTATAGTTATTCGGTGTCCCCAGTATCTAATCCCCTCCCACCCGTATCCTAAAATGCCAATGTTCCCACGGCTCTCACGACCACTGACAGAAATGCTCTAGGCCTTGGCCTTACACATTATAACGTTGTGGGTGGGTTTAGACAAAACGGCAAAAAATCTAAATTTCAGAAAATCAGACATGCCTCGTTAAATATCTTAGGCATACATTAGAACCAAAAATGTTAATTCGTAGAAAATGAGTAGACAAATGATTGAATAATTTTTTCTTCAAATTTTTGAATGAATTAAGATTGAATACATAAATATTTGTTTAAAGTTTTTGATAACTGAACGAATTTTTCAATTTTCAAGATGAATGGAGAAGTATTTTTTGAGCACTTTTGATTAGGACGTACAACTCTAACAATTAGTAAATAAACTTATAATGGATAAATTGCCGTTGACTGGAATCTGTTATCTTAAATGCAGCATCAATCATTCTTAAATTTCACAATGGCTGCGTGGCAATACCTGGTCGAAGCATTGGCAAATTGTATTTTATCATCAACGCAAATCTTGACTGATTACAGATTGATTTGCAATTTAAGCAATGGGCCATCATAATTAGCCAGCAGTTGGGTCTCTCACCGTGACACTGAACTTGTCCTGGAACAATATTTGCTTGTCCATATTTAAGATGCATTTTCTCCGAGCGTCGATAAGTTTGCTTTTGTGCGGAGCAATCTTGTCCCATGGAGAAGAAATTTCTGGGGAGAAGCGTTTAATTAAAGTGGCGGAAGACAAACCAGCCGAATGGATGGACCAGGACGAAATTTGGGGTCTGATTAAAGCAGAAACTAACTTTGTGGACGTGACGGGACACAATTTCCCAGTTGTTAAACAAGAGGATTTTAATACTGCGGGTTAGTTAGATTGATTTTAGGGTGCAATTATTAACCGCTTGTCAGACTCTTACAATAAAATTCCTGTACCAACTAGGGGTAACTGTTCATACTCATTTGCTCAATTGAGAATAAATTAATTATTCATTCATTGTTCAATAAATTTAGAAATGATGAGCGAATAATTTTCCAAAATCTTTGGATGCATGAATATTGAACGCAAATTTATTCATTTAATATTCATGAGGAATGAATGAATAGTTTTATCCATTATTATTTTATGAAAAACGAATAATGAGTAACTATTTAGTTGCAAATTTTGAGTAACTGAATGAAGAATTTTTTCTAATTTTTAAAATAAATTAATTTTGAATGAAGGAAAATTTTTTGAACAGGTATGGTGTTTTTATACGTCATAAAATTTTTATTTTTTAATAATCTTAGCAATTCCCACCACCATCCGTTTTCGATCCGTTGTCGAAGCACTCTTCTCACTGCTGGACACCAGCCGTATGATCACGTTTGTCATGAGCTTCAGCCAATTTCATACTCGTTACTACACCTCTCAAACTGGAATCGAGTCACAGGCATTTCTTCGAAGACAAGTTGACGTCAGCCTTTTCGGCTACGCGGGAAACTACACTGTGGAAGAATTCGAACACACATGGGTAGGACAGAAAAGCATTATTGTTCGGATCACGGGAACAGATGCGACACTTCGGAACGAAGTAGTAATTCTAGGCGCACATCAAGACTCCATTAATACGGGTGGATCCACACTTTCTGCCCCAGGTAAATAAATCAGGGAACGTTCATCTGTCCTTCGCGAAAATAAGAAGTACTTCGTAGCATCCAAAAATTTGACCGTGTGATGTCAAATTAATGTTTGCCGTGCAAAAAACTGCAAAAAATTATTTTTATGCAGACACAATTTTTTGCACAAGTGCTGGAAATGCAAGATGCGCCATTATAATTATGTATAGTACAAAGAGTGACTCGCTAGCCCGCTTTCTCGCATTTTTTTTACAATTTTTACAGTTTTTGAACAGTAATGTAAGAATTGATGAGAAATTACACGAAATTAAGCACTGTGCCAACTAATAAGGTCACACTAACAAAATTTTACTAATTTAATTTTAATTCCTCCAGGTGCCGACGACAACGCCTCCGGTTCTGTCGTTGTCCTAGAAACCTTGCGGGTTATCGCGGAGCAGAATTTCATTCCAAAAAGGACATTGGAATTTCATTGGTACGCCGCTGAAGAAGTTGGCCTTCGAGGATCCGGAGAAATTGCGAGTTCCTACAAGGATCGAAATATCAACGTCGTTTCAATGGTAAATTATGACGTTCCGGGCTATCTTGTCCCGAATCGGAATGAAATTCGGATCGTAAACGATTACGTGGAGCCGACTCTTAGCACGTTTTTGACCCTAATTGTCGACGAGTACTTGGCCGTTAGATGGACCCGGTATTCATGCGGATATGGATGCTCGGATCATGCTTCCTGGTTTAATTACGGGTTTCCATCCGCCCGACCGGCCGAAGCTGTGTATCACCCAGGCATGCATACGGTGACGGACGTCATAACCGCGGTGGGTTTCGAACAGGTCAAGGAGTTTACGAAGTTGGCGGTGGGATATGTGGTCGAAATGTCGGAGCCATCTTAAGCGTAGACTACGAAATCAAGACATTGGAAATACTATTGTTCATATGTAATAATACTACAATATATTACTTAACTACCTAAAATTCTAAATTGTGTATAAAATATGGTGGTTCATCTTGTAATAAATTAGATTTTCTTGATTAAGTAATTGATTTTGAAATTTTATGCGGTGCAAATATTTAGCATATTTTATACCTCTTGAGATCGGGTTTTACTTAACCCTTTAAACTGTAACGACGACAATTGTCGTTTTATAAGAAATGGTTTAATTCGGGAGTACGACAAAAGTCGTCCTGAAAAATCGTGGTCATGACGCGGAAGGAAGACAATTGTCGTTTCTAGGAAGTCATTGATTTTCACTATTTTCTCTCCGCGACCTAAAATTTGTTGAAATTTTGAGGTATTTCTCCTATGTCAACACAATGCTAAATTTGAAGATTTTCTTCCCAAAAATTTGGATATTTCCCTATACAACTCAATGTTAAATTTTTGATTTTTCAGTTTTTCGAGTTTTATTAAAAACTCCTGAATTTCTTCTCCCGCGCCATGACCACAACATACTTATAGTGTCCCCGATTTAATGCATTTTCTTGTCGTTAATCATATACGTTAAAGGGTTAAATAAATAGACATAAATAAACAAGGATTCGTCACACTAAATAAGAATATACAAAGATTGGTTTTAGATGAAATATGTAGTTGCCAAGCAAATTATTAGTCTAATTAAGTAATTGAGAAAACTGCATGCATGCAATTTACTCATGCATGAAAAATATTTATACACAAATACATATTTAGTCAATACATGTATGTACTTGCACATATGACAAGCTGCTCCAAACCAGGAGGAGACAAAGCATCCTACTTCATTGCAAAATGGTCAATGATTGATAACCATAATCATGCTGATTATGATGCAATAATGCCCCTAACTTGCAAATACTAATTAAGAGTCAAATTCTCCTCGTCGAGTTGCAATCAATACGACTTTGTCAATTCAATTCATTTTTGTAATTTTGCCAGCGTGTATTATTGAATATCCAATTTTTGAAATTTATATCGTAAGATCCACTGGAAACATGGCAAAACGACAAAATTGCGCAGTGCGTCAAGCTCTGCAAAATCCACTGGTGAGTGTAGAACAATTTTAAAATAGACTCTTTTAATACCAAGCGGTAGCAATTTTAATACGGAGAAATCAATACGTATGTACGCGACGATACCAGATTTGTAACACTGCATTTTTTTCAGATTCTTCAACAAATATTTAAAAACGGATCTGTTTCCGGAAAAAAAGTACGGCTCGTTTGCCACTTATGGAATGAAATCGTCCTCTCCCATCCGCAGCCCAAGTTAACGCTTTTTCTTCACACCGATCCATCGAGAGGAGACTCATCTTCAGAGGATGAATATGATGACGACGGTCGTTTGAAAGGTCCCTGCTCCTTCAACCCACTTCAATTATTCTGTGTCAAAATGGAACCACGACTTGCAAGATGTATAAAGGAATATCAGTGTATATCAAAAGGTCAGGTTGCCCCATGGCAGAAATTGTGTGCCATCGAGTCCAGAGTAATCCACGTTACGAACAAGTTCAATCTATTCTTGGAGCACGTGACGATAAACTTTTACAGTGAACACTTAATCCCAACATTGTACGAAATATTGAAAACCTGCTGCCCAAATTTGAAAAGACTGGAAATCTGCTTCGAATTCACGGGGTTCGGACATTCCCTTGATGACAACAGTTACGGCACCTCACCTCTATGTATCCGACCCATGTTGACCTTTATCAAAATATTGGACCTTACAGTGCACACAGGGTTTTTCAAGATGACACAGCTGGTTCTGAATTCTGCCCCAAACTTGACTCATTTCACTTACCATGGCGATAAATTTCCAGATTTAAGCAGGAATGTGTCCATTAAGATGATCACTTTCGGCTGGAGGTCAACAAGACTCCTCCGTTGCAATGGATTAAAGAAGATGTTGGACCAAGTAAAAGATCAGCTGGAATTCTTGCACGTTAAGAGCAATGGTACCGGCAGTACGGTCCTAATCGATGTCCGGCTCCCTAAAATGAAGAGGCTTAAAGAGTTTAGAAATGAAGTACTCGATTGCTTTAGTTGTGGGGATCAACTGCAGGATATTTACACGGAAAGGATGCCATGTTTGGAAAGATTGCTCATCTTTACAATTGAGCAAAATTTAACAGAATTACTGCGAACAATTAGTCGGCAGAGTAGGATTTTATTTAGTGGAGTGAAACACCTCCACGTGCCCCGTATCGATGACCCCGAAGTAATTGTTGGATTAAAGATGTCATTCCCAAAGTTGGAAAGTTTAACAATTGACCAAAGAAATTTAGAGCCGCAGATTATCGAATTGGGGTCCAATCTACGAGCATGTACCTCGCTTGGATTAAAATACTTGAAGCTATTTCTTTTAGATCCTTGTGACAAGTTGTCTGAAGTTATTCGGGATCTTTCAACTTTGAAGGAATTATTTCCAAGTATGTAAATATGGGCAAAATTATATGTATGAGTTTCGATTGAGGTATAATTCTTGCTTAAATAATTTTTATACCAGGTCTGAAAACCTTAGAAATAGAATTCCACAGTTACAAGAAACGGGTAACGGATGACCTGGATCTTATCGTGGACGGGACGGAGAAGATGAAACAATGGTTTTTGGCAATGAAAGGATTGGAGAATGTAACTATTTGAGGAATTCAGGTGAAAGTGATTTGTTTATTAAAAGCATGTTTGACCATTGCTATTCTAAATTCTTGCAGATTAAGCAAGAAAGACGGAAATGGGTGCAGTTTTTCATTCAGGAGAACAGGATTCCAATTGTGTTGGAGTAATAAGAATAAGATGAATTGTTTTCAGCACTCTTTTATGAATTTATGTTTATGTAGCTTTAGTTATATTTAGTTAGATATATAGCTGTTTATAGTATATGTCAATTGTGGAAGAGCATAGCTTGTTCCTGTGAACTTGTTAGACACTTGAATAAATCATCAATCAATCAATCAAAGTACGTCGGATCGAATTTAACGTTAAGTAGTTCGAAAGATTTTTATTTGTTCCCCAAACTAGACATTCGCCGAGTTTGTTACGTGAGAGTGTGTGACGCATTTGCGAAAATTTCCCCCTGAGACTTACCAATGTTGAGATATTGATATTTAAATCTGCTTATTATTTTTCAAGCGCCAATATAATTATCAATCGTCCATGTACATACGTCGGATATGAATGAAAAATGACTTTTTCCATTTATTGACCTACAGTCGCCAAACTTTCTGAGAATGTTTATGGTCACTAGTAGGTCGCGTAGGTCAAAGCATATTTTCTCATATTGGTCATATTTTCGGGTTTTGGGACATTTTCATATTCCCGATCATATTTCGGGTTTTTTTCGTTCATTTTATCATTTTTGGCCAAATTCTTAGATTTGGCAACCAAATCGACAGAAAATGACAAAAAAATCAGTTTTCTCACAATTATTCATTGTGAGAAATTTTCAGAAATTTACGTTCACTTTCGCCTAAGGTGATTTAATTCATAGGGAATGAATTAAATCACCCCAGAACTTGTAAAATTGATAAAAATTGAGCATTACAAGATAATATATCAAAAAGTTTAACCAAAAATTTGAAAAATAAAGTCATTTTTATGGTCATATTTTGGGGATTTTTACGGTCATTTTTCATTCATATTTTGAGGTTTTATCGGTCATTCATATCCGACGTCTGTCCATGTAAGTGTGCAAATCATGAAATAATTGCTGGTTAATATACTTATATATTTATTTAGTAAAGTAAATATTGACACTTTTATTTCTTGTCAGTTACAAAAAAAATAACTCATGTTGACATATTTTGGACATTTAAAGTGACCACCGTCGCCCTTCAACTCGTCGGAAGTGTAGGGTTCATTCCTAACTCCACCAAACGCTTTGGTCAGTTGGGCCTTGTCGATAAACTTGAGCAAGGCGGCTTGCCACTCAATCGTATTCTTTCCGTACATATGAAATTCGTCGCGACTTGAGCGAAAGGGAATAAGGATTTCCCACAGGGTAAGGAATATATTTGGCACTGCGCATTTAAATAGTTCAGCTCGGGTCAAAAGTCATAATTTAAACCAAAAAATTAAGGCACACTTTTAGAAATCCAAATATTTAAATAGTACCAAGCGGCGTCCATATGTGACGGTACGAAAGTGGTAAGTAATACCGTGTGGTAGCAGCTCAGTATTAGAGTTTTACCAGGTCTGTGGCAAATTTTTATGGACCGATATAATTTTAATACCAACCGGTAGCAACTTTAATACCGAGAAATCAATACACCTGGCTTACTACGCAAGATTTCTAAAAGTGCACGTGCATGTAGCGTTTGAATGTGCATACCATTAACCAGCGTAGTAGAATGTCCAGTGCCTGGGTAATAATTAGCATACGTTTGGAGAAAGTGGTGATAGATCGGAATGCCTGTAGTGCATAAAATGTACAAATTGTTATTTTTTTAACTTATGTAAAAACTCAAAATATGTATGACATATGTAAATTGGGAAATGGCTAATTACACATAGCGCAGCCCTGATTAATGAGATTATAGTTGGACATTTCTACAATCAAATCATATTGTTTGACGTTTTCTCCTTTCTCCTGTGATATTCGAATATACGTGGTAATTTCTTCGAACAGTTTGTCAAAGTATCTCATGGTGCGTTTTTGTTTTCCTGCGAGTACGGCTTTTCTAATATCCCAATCTCCGACGGGGACAGTAATTACTGAATAGATATCCATAAATTGTTAAATTTTAACTTTATGTGAAATGTATTTAATAAAATCAGAAATTTACCTGGTCTCCCTTCCTTATCGCAGCCTTGAATATCGAACGGAAAATCTTTTTCAAAGTCACTCCAATCCTCGTCTAAAATCGTGTCTATACCGTTTTCCTTCCTCCATTCTAAGTTCTGTGGTAAATAATAACTACCTTTAACATGAATTGCAAACATATGTAGAACATTTGTAAAGTAAGCAGTGAGGGTATTAATTATTCCTGTGTATCCCTCTCCTATGGCTTAACTTTTTTTAGTAAGAGACTGTCAGCCATAAGCTTTGTATTTAAAAGAATCTTATAGGTATTAAAAAATTAAACTATATGATTGTTCGCATCGTAAAATAAGTCACGACGGTTACGAGATTTTGTAAGCGTCGTAAGATTTTGTCAGCAAAAATCACGTTATTAAATATATATATATGTACACAATATGTAAGCTTAGGATTTTTACGAAGCCCTTCTTTTTCCTTCGTACTCTATTTTACGATACGAAAGATACGAAAGAACAATGAATACCCTCATTACACGTACATTAATTAGCATTAGTTCTGCGTCGTGGATGTTAAAATTTCGAGCTGTAAACGGTAACATGAAGTATTTAATTATTTAAATGTCATCAAATATGTATTTTATTAAACTATTCTGTACATATGTACATACCTCGAAGCCATCGAACCAAGTAAATGTCTTTCTTCATGTATTCATGTGGTAGTCTTGAGCTAACCAAGGTTCTAAACTATTAAGGAAATGTTAAGGGATTTATTTATAATTCTTTTTGAGATTTTATTTATACATACCTCGTCCAGAATTTGTTTTTGTTTGTATGTTAATGTTAAATTGTCGCTTAATGATGCTTGATTAGATAAATTGCATAAACACAATAAAATTAAAACACCTGAAAACAGTACACTTTTTAAATTCATTTTTGCTATAGTTTACAATATTTACAAATACGTAAAGTTCCAAATGTTGGATTTTGTAATGTTGCTTCCAGGTAAATAATGCACTGGTTGACCTGGCGAATACTCTCTCAGATGGATGTATCGACGTTAAAAAAGTGGTAAAACAAGGTTAGGTTAGGTCTGTATTATATAAGTTAATCTTAATGCTATGTTGGAGATGAATATTGTAAGCTGGAATGAATATAAATAAGTGAATTGTATGTACATAGATAATTATGCCTGGGAGTAGGAAGTGTGCATATGTACATATATATACATATCTATGTACATATCTGTGTATGTACATATGTAAATGCAATGATAATGACATTGAAATTACGCAATAAGCCTACCCTGCAAGGTAAGAGTTGAGTTTAATCGCCTGTGAAAATCAAACCTTCAATTAAATAGTTGCACGACTACAACTAACAATGAAGGCCTTCCAGCGTATGCTCCCTGATTTTTATCAAATTGTGTCAATCTATTGCAAATTTAATTAATATGAAATTTGCAAAAGCCATAATCTCCCATGCTTAGGTTTGGCAGAGAGATTACCGAAGAGGGGAAAGTTACCCTAAAGTCGACAAATTCTACACGTTCCAGTTTTATTGCACGTTTTCTCCGCTTCGAATGCAAATATCTACGACAAACCCGATAATTGGTTGATAGTAGCGTTTCCAAATTTCATGTTAATTAATTTCCTGATCAACTGACACTCGTTTTGTCAAATTCGGTGAGCATAGGCTGAGAGACCTGCATTGTTAGATACTTACATATACATTAATACGTTTACGATACTGTATCAGACTTATCATCTACAGAAATACGAAGAGCAGCTTATTCTTCTACATACAGTATGTAACGAAATTGTAGATGCAATGACATATTTTTTATTTCGATATTATCCCACAATTTCTAAAATTCCTAACTTCGGGAACAAATGTCAAAAGTATCTACGGACAATTTCCGCGTCGTCGATTTTTAATGTCACGCACAGGTCAAGGGTCAGCATTTTTTTAAAGATTCAAAATGAGAGGCCAAAAATAAAACTCCATGGATAATTTTTTTTCGACTTTCCAATATTTTTTATTGGACGCGGGCCGCGTCACGCGGCAAGGCCTCACGAAAAAAATGAGCTATCGTACAACCGTGTACGATTTTTTTTGACGCCCACAGGAATTTTTCGCCCAGGACAGTTTGGAGGTCTAAAATCGTGACCGTGGCGAAATTTAAACAATTGAAATATACAAAACCATATTGACATCGAATACATGCCTTTCTATATTTCAACGATCAGTTAATACGATCAGTAATGATCGGTGACCAACTTTTTTAAGAGTGAAGGCAAAATGACGCCAAATTTAGCTCAATAAAGAATGGATCATTTCTCAAGCGTTCAATATTTAGCGAAGTGGTCGCCCCGGGTTGTTGGCGAGCAGGGAACATTCAGAGATGATGAAATCATAATTTCCATTAAAACGGAGTCTAAAATAAAGAAATTTGTTGAAAAAAGGAACTAGGCAAGAAATTTGATAGTGCCACATGAAATGTTTTACGCAGTAGATGATTATCGTTCATTTATGTACACACACGATGATTTGCATACTATCATTTACATACTTTGATACACAGCATGCGTTGTACACCGATCTAAATATGTACTGACGAAATTTAATTTGCTCCCATTCCGATAAAATTTCTAAATATGTATGTACTAGGTAGTTTTAATATAGGTAAATAGTTTACTGTCATTACCTCACCTTGGTATTTTGTATGCAGGTATGTCATATTCCATGTTTTGTTTTTTCGAGTGTGAATCTTTGTCAGAACGGTGACCTCAAGGAAATTAAGTACAAACAAACATGTGGGGGTCGTCTTTTCCATTCAGACCATCCATCTCTGAACATCTGCACAGGTATAAATAAAAATTTACACGTGTACAGTACACCTGTACAAAAGTGTACTGTGTACCTCTATTGTTTGCAAATGAATTTACTTATCATTGCAAAACTATTTGTTTGGGATTATTTAATATGCATGAATGAAGCAGTACTATTCTCTCACTATGCGATGCTGTGAAGTGTAACCCTCCTATTTGGTTGAAATTTTAAAATTGTGTGGTCCAAGTCAATACAACCAATGTTTCTTGAAGCAATTTGTGCTATCGTTGGAATTTGTCAAAATATTTGAGGTCAAAGTTGAAAAATTGACGATTTTCCATTTGAAGTGAATGGGAGTGAGGTTTACTTCCCCCGCCTGGTAAAAATCACCCATTTTTTCACCTTTGACCTCAAATAGTTTGACAAATTCCAACCATTGCACAAACTGGCTTAACAAACATTGGTTGTATTGACTTGAACCACGCAATTTTAAAATTTCAACCAAATTGGAGTGTTACACTTCACACCATCGCATTGTTAGTAAAGCTAATCTGAAAAACAAATTCGCCAATCTAACTAACACTCGCCATGCAGGGTTTATTAGTTTAAATATTGCTTTCTAGTTCGAAAATTGTCCCCACTCATACCCTGATGACAAGCATACAGCTGAAACTGACTATTGTGTATTTAGTACACACTAGTATTGTGTTTACTACTTATATAATCCTCTGCATATGAAACTAAATATGTGTAGTTGAATCCCTTGACCTTTGGAATGCTAATGTTGCATCTGGATTATCATTACAAAGGTTGCAAGACATATTTTAGCATATTACAATGTGCTAAAATGTATTTAAAGAAAATTTAAAAGTTTGGGACAATATATTAACAAACCAAGTCAAGTAGCTCCCACATAAATATTTAAATAGTTGGAAAGCAAAGTAATACTCGAAGGTTATTTGAGTGAGGGGATATCCTTAAATACCTCTTGCGAGCACCGTTAAGTGATGCGTCAATTATATATTTAACAATCATGGTTAAACTTGCCATGTTTATTCTTGGTTCTGTCTCATTCATGATAAAGCAATATATCGAGCAATATCGGAAAGCGGATTTGGACATGACCTTGACCGAGCTGGAACCGGATCTTAGCCTACCAAGAATACAAACTTACGATTTTATAATTGGTAACAGTACTTAACGTTGCAATATTAGAATGATTGATTACTCTAACAAGTTTTACCAACCTTGTTCACAAATTTGAGTGAAAATTTATAAGTTTTGTGGTGTTTTTAAGTAAGATTTCTATTTTCTAGTTGGCGCTGGCACGTCGGGATGTCAGCTGGCGGGACGTGTTTCTCAATATTTCAAGGTTTTGCTTTTAGAAGCAGGCGGAAATCCACCTCCGGCCGCGAATTTGTTGCTATTGGAAGGTGATATTATTGCCGATACCGTCATTAATTACCACTTCCAATCCAAACAACAACACCTTTCATTAAAATCTGGCGGGGTAATAAAATATTTATTGGTTATTTTTAAAATCTGGTTTTAATTCCCGCCCTTCTGTGGACGCAGATGTTGAACATTTCCATGGGTAGAATGATGGGTGGGTCAGGGTCACACAACGCAAACTTTTACAATCGTGGTTCGCCATATGACTATGATCACTTCGCAAGAATTACGCAAGACCCGAGTTGGAGTTATTTAAATGTTATCCAGCATTTTAAAAGATTTGAAAAGTTTGATGGAATTTTAGTCAATGAAAATCAACGAGGTTACAAACAAACGTTTTTTTCTTAATAGGGATTCATGATCAAATTACAAATTAAAGGATAATTCCTAGATTTTTACGGTACAAATGGACCCATTTCTGTAACTTCGTCTAACTCACCAGCGCTTGGAATTTGGCTGGCGGCCGGCCGTGAGTTAGGATTCCAGGCGGCAGACTCGAATGCGTTCCAGATCGAAGGTAAATAATTTGGATCAAACGGACGTGACAAAGGGGTGAAATAAATGACAGAATCAAAAATCTAGCATCTTGGACATGCATACCTACATATTTCTAAAAGTTTATTCTAGCTTAAAGCTAAATATTCATAAATACTGAAGGTTTCACTCCTCTCGCCATGTCGACTAAGAATGGGGTAAAATCCAGTTCTTACACTAGCTTTATTGAAGGAGTGGAACGAAACAATCGTAATTTGAGGGCATTGAGATATTCCCAGGTTCAAAAGGTATGAAAACACACGACAAATATCTTACTAGCCGAATTTAATCGTTCTGTTTACTGACTTTTGAATTAGATTCTAATCAACGAAAACAAGGTCGCGTACGGGGTGACGTATTTGCGACACGGAATTCCACAAATTGCTCACGCTTCACGAGAAGTCATCATCTCTGCGGGGGCTGTACTTTCACCGATAATGTTGATGAAATCGGGCATTGGCCCTGCAAATACGCTTCAATCTGCAAACGTACTAACCACTAGAGACTAATCACCCATGCCCAAAATTCCATTGGCTTTTTGGGAATGGCCTACATTTAATGCACCACTTAATTATCTTATCTGAAACTTCCCACCTTTTCGACGTTGCCTACCACTAGCTGAAATCTACACTACGTCAAGTTTTTTTAGCTACCTATTTAGCTCGTGGTAGCCACTAACCATTTATCCAATTCCTTAAAAAAAATTATGCACAAAAAACACTATCTAAAGTAAATGTTGCAGAAATTCTCATTATTATGGATTAGTTTATTTCTGATTTACGGTTTTTTTAATTACATAAAGATTAGAGCTTTATGAGCTCGAGCAACCCTGTCCTTCTTGCGTTTTTGACTTAAAGGTACATTTTGGGCTCCTGTGCTAACTTCGTGAAACTTTTCCTAAATTGCTAGTCAAGTTATGTGCTTACAAATAAATTCAATCATTAATTCTAGATTCTACCATCCATAACCGGGAAGTACAGGCTGGTTAGTTTCAAATTATTAGGTGGCTAAAAAACCGGCATAGTGGGGATTTAGATTCTTAATATAATCGTACATTTATTTATATACAGAGAACGCTTTATTTTAAACGTCGAGCGTTTTTGGAATTAGTATATCTCGAATTGGACTTAAACGTGTTATATTTCTGGTGTGTACCACAGAATTTATACATCTACATATGCCCTTATCCAAATCGATAGATCCCAATCGTGCAAGATCTCCCCGGAGTCGGACAAAATCTAATGGATCATGCCTCCATCCAATTCCAATTTCAAATTCTTAACCCATCCGCAGTCCAAGCACTAAATCCATTATTGTCCGATGCTGGCTGGGAGGATTCACTTATCAAGTTTCAGACTCCAGTGAGAACAGGAGCAATTGTGGAAAACACCCGCCAGCAAGCGTTCATGGTATCGTCTCGTGCAAAGCGAGAAAATGAAGGCACTGGCCGGACTATCATTTGTTTTATTCCACGGATCTTCAAAATGGACTTGAAGCTAATACAACATATGTATGCAAATATCTTTGTTTAGTTTAACATTAGCTTTTATGAGTAACTTCTGCGCGTCTTATTACGCCCCATGTGTCACGTAGTACAGACAACTGGAAATTAACCCATCGTCGTTAATATTAAATGAAATTTAAATATTTTCTACTAGGTAGTATAAAAAATTCTATATTTTTAATTTAAGAAAATGGTAGTCAGATCTTAGGAAACAATTGCCTTCCTGTGAAGGGTAACAAATTACTGAGGAAGGAATTTGTTTTCTAAAAATCTCGCTCTACAATTTTGTTAAGTTAAAAATATAATTTTTTTAAAATGATAATATTTAAATGTCATTGAATATTAATGGCGAAAGGTTAATTTTAGGTTCTCCATAAGGATACATGATACATGGGATGCGATAGGATGACTCATAGAGGCTCGTCTTAAAGGTCGAGACTCCTATCTTACGAAGAATAAGTACGTAAGTCCTAGTAGTAAAAAAAAATAGGAGTTCATCATCCATTTGTCACAATGACAACTCTCCAAGTCTTAAGTATTTTGACTGCCAGTTTTTTGAATTTCGTTCGTTTGAATGTTGCTCGTGTGCATGATATAGGGCCTTTTCGTGCTTGGAAATTATTTTTTTCATGAGATCACCAAACTCTTGGCAGAAGAATGGAATTTTGTTAAATTTTTTATTGCAAATGCACGATTATTCAATATTTGTCTGAATATGTAGGTATCACAACTGAAATGTACATGAAAATTTGAGCAGGAAGATATGGAGCTTCATAATTTCGAGGACAAACAATTTATTGACGTCTGACTATGTATCTATTGCGGTACAACTATTAATCTTGCATTTGAAATCACAAATTTGACAAAATTTAATTTTTCTGCATTAAATTTTGATGATCTCCGAGAAAAATGTGGTCATAAGTATAACATTGCGAGACATTGTGAGATAAATGTCTCAAGGTTGTCCCTATGGCGACTAAACGGTGTCCTAGGATGACCTGTTAATCTGCCAAGGATTTTCCACATCACTTCACTATATGCACCTCTAGCTAAAGTCCTTAAACGGAATTTTCTATTATCTAAATAAAGTTCTAAGCTAAATGCATACTACTCATAATCAAAATTTAAAGTTAATTTTTGGTACTAGAAAACTTCCATTCTTAAATGAGTTCAATTGTGAAATCACGTATTCACAATTAATTTCCGTAAAAAGAATTAACCCGGTGTTTTTAAAACGACAGTTTTGTAGTGTCTAAAATTAACTTTAAATTCGAAGTACAAAAAATTGCGTTTATCTCAACATTTCATTTAAATAGTAGAAATTCAAAGACATTAGCTAGGGGTATCGTCCTTAGCAACATTCTACAATTTCTTACAGGTTTATATCAACGCGGAATTTGGGAGACCTAAATCCAGAGGGTGCGTCATCCTGAATACTGACGCGTATTCTTCTGGGGAAATAGACGATGAGAAATTGGTCAGTCTTGACCTGGGAAGTTTTACAGATCCGACTGATATAGATGTTCTACTTGAAGGTTGGCATTAATAGATATGGATTACAACCAATAGGCCCGATAATGTGTGTTAAAATTATGTCATTGGTAACTGTTAGGCATTCGCATGGTTTTCAAGATTTCGAAGACAGCTGCGTTCCAGGTATTGAATTTAGAGTACGTCCCACATGTTCCAGCACCATGTAAACTGTACAATTTTGACTCGGACGAGTACTGGAGGTGCTACATCGTACAGACATCAAGCACAGCGTGGCATTTGTCCGGATCTTGCATAATGGGCGGGAGAGATGATCCAGTAGCCGTGGTTAACTCGGAATTAAAGTAGGCCAATAGCATGCTTCATAGTATTTAGAAAATTTGCATATATATATATATATATATATATATGCATTGACGACATTCATTACGAGTTCGCTAAAAATTTCGGCTGGCAAATTCGCGGTGATGGGCGGACTTGCCCATCACCACGCCAGTTTTTAGTACGCGATTTTTTCAAAATTTTGTTGCCATCCGAACCTGTAAACTCGTAATGAATACCCTCCTTATTTATGCGCGTATGTACAACTAACTGGTTACAGGGTGCGTGGAGTGTCACAATTACGCGTCGTGGATGCCAGCGTGCTGCCAACTTCGACGAATGGAAACACAAATGCACCCACACTTCTCGTCGCGGAGAAAGCATCGTGTCAAATACTTCGGGATTACTTGCAACCATATAGCGATCCTAATTTCTGTCCATTAGATAATCCTGTGTATTTTAAGCCGTTTGGTAAATAAATAATGCATGTTTGTTAACATTTTTAGGTAATAAATACTATATATTAAATAGCTGGAGATATTTAAAAATATCTACAATAGCAAGATCATTACCTCTTGTACCAGATTAAGATAAAAGATCCAGATATATTATCTTGATCTTTAATCTTCGGCTTCGAACCGAATCGAAGCTTTCGGCTTCGGCTGCAGCTTTTGCAACAGCAAAAAGATTATGATCCCGATCTTGCACTGCACGACCTTCAAGATCATGATCTTGATTTTTCTGTTCAAGATTAAAATGGGAAATACGAAAAATAGCGTTTTAAAAAGTATTGACAATTTTTATAAAATTTCGCCTTTATCCAATCCCCAAGAGATCATTATAAAAAAGCATAATCCGAGATGTAATTTGTTTCCTGATCAATTGAATTATTTTGTTCAAATGACGATCTTAATATTTCCTTAGACAGGTATTGTTAACTCGTCCGAAATTTGGTAAGGCAACTACTGTACATTTGGATGTTTGCCTGCAGTCTTGTTAAATCCAGTACGATTCAATACCGTGGTTGATTAATTGAAGGCCTATTCATCTGGCCTATAATTTGCAGCAATAACCATGATCTTCCTGGAATAATAATGATAATACTGGAAAAGTATGTACACATACATATTTATATATGCAAGCGGTGACCTAAAATTATGTACGTATGTAATTTGCTCCCACTCACAATTAGTAATAAAATCACTTCATAAATAGTTTTCATTTCATCACCTCCGGATTTCGTGTTTTGTCTCTTCGAATATGAATGTTTGTCCGTACGGTGACCTCAAGACTTAAGTATTGATATTACACATATGTCTTAATTGTCCATTCAGAAGAACCATCTGAACAATTTAATATTTATAAATATTTATCAATATTTACACAAATGTATGTGTATCTATTTGAACGTGTAGGTCTATTGTATGCAAATGATTTTTTTATTAAAAAACTAACCGTTTAAGTACCAATATGCATGTATGAGGCATTATTATGTATGCATTCTTTGGTAAAGCTAATCTAAAAAAGCAGTATCACCAATCTAATTAAAACTGGAGGATTCATCAGTGTAAATATTGCGTTATACATAAATAGATCGGAATATGCCTCCCGTTATCCGTGGTAACAAACATGTAAATCACTTGTGAAATTTTTATTTTTCTAATGTGCTAAATGTTTAAAAAAAAACCTCTAGAAGCTTTGGATAATCTAAGAAAATCCATGTCAAGCGGCCATGCCTAGATTTTCCTACCTCACATTTTCAATTACCTCGATTATCACTGAAGAACACTTTCAGGAAAATTTTTCGAATATTCCAGGACACCTTCGATAAATCACGGAAATATTAAAAAATCCCCGGAAATACTCAAAAACTCCAAGAAATATTCATAATTACAGGAATAAGTAAAATTCCCGCAAATATTTGAAATTTCCCGATCTCGGTGAACGCATTACAAATTTATTTGGGGGGGTGAACACGTGTAACGAAACCCAGGCATGCAAGCAGCTCGTGGTTACATATTCAAAAAGGTTAAGAGAAGTAGTCGTTATAAGACGATTGAGTGAGGAGATATCCATAAATACCTCTGGGGAGCAGGGTCACCATGAAGTAAACGTTTACGTGATGTGTCAATTACATATTTGACAATCATGGTTAAACTTGCCTTCTTTGTTCTTGGTTCGATATCGTTAATCATAAAGCAATATGCTGACCAATATCGTAAAGCGGATTTGGACATGACCTTGACCGAGCTGGAACCGGATCTTAGCCTGCCAAGGATTCAGACTTACGACTTTATAATTGGTAAGAGTACTTAACCTCTTGACTACCAAAGTACACATATTTGTGTAGTATTGTATTTCCCGTTGACGACCAACTGCACAAATGTGTGTACGGCATAAACTTCCTTGACACCAAAATTGCTTTAAAAAAACAATATTACTCCGGTACTTATTTTGTGGAAAACTCGATGGTGAAAAGTAGATTTTTTTCGATATTTTTCTCCCCAAATTTTGGAATTTTCCCTATACCGACCAATGTTAAAAAGTGGATTTTTCGTGTTTTTCATAAAAAAAACTCGAAAATGAGAAACGGGTTGAAAATTTTAATTGGTTGCCATCAGGTTTACTTATGGAATAAAAATCGTACCTAAGGGAAGTTTTATTTCAAAAAAAGTTGTCCGAAAGAGGTTAACCTGGCAATATCAGATTAGTGGCCGCGGAAGCCGTGGAGCATCTATTGTGTGGATGGAGGGAAGGGTTTATCTAACATGCTCAAATGATGAGGACATCGAATAACCGTGATCTTTCCCCACGTCTCCGCGGTCATTGTATCAGAATAATTAATTTTTCATGTTTTTTTTTTGGTTTCTTTCTATTGTGTAAAATTCCTATTTTATAGTTGGCGCAGGCACGGCGGGATGTCTGTTGGCGGGACGTCTTTCTCAATATTTCAAGGTTTTGCTTCTAGAAACTGGCGGAAATCCACCCCCGCCTGTGAATCTGCTGATATGGCTAGAGAACGCGATTAACAAGGATACCCTCATCAATTACCAATTCCAATCCAAACAACAACACCTTTCATTAAAATCTGGCGGGGTAATAAACTGTTTGTACTTTTTCGAATTTGGTTTAAATTCCCGCCTTCACTGGATGCAGGTATTAAACATTTCCATGGGTAAAATGATGGGCGGGTCGGGATCTCATAATGGAAACTTTTACAATCGGGGTTCGCCATATGACTATGATCACTTCGCAAGAATTACGCAAGACTCGAGCTGGAGTTATTCAAATGTCATCCAGCATTTTAAAAGAATTGAAAACTTTGATGGAATTTTGGTCAATGAAAATCAACGAGGTTAAAATTGAAAGTTTTGTAATACGCATGCATGATAAATTACAAATTAACAAATTATTCGTAGATTTTTACGGAACAAATGGACCCATTTCTGTAACTTCGTCTAACTCACCAACGCTTGGAATTTGGCTGGCGGCGGGCCGCGAATTAGGATTCCAGGCGGCAGACTCGAATGCGTTCCAGATCGAAGGTACATATATATGTAGCTTGTATCAAACGGACGTAACAAAGGGGTGAAACGAATGGCAGAATCAAAACGCTTGCCCAATCAAAAGTCTGGCATATGTATAGGACATAATATGGTCAGCAGGCAACCTCGACCATCACGTGCTCGTACCCTTCCCACACTGTTAGTATGGTAGGGATACGAACGCGGGAATCAAATTTTGCCCTAGGTTGCATGCTGAGAACTATAATTCTACAATTTCAACATAGTTGACTTTTGACATCGTCAGCATGGTCACATCATTGATCGAAATGATGGCGATTTTTTAAATCCCCTCCATAAATAACAGTCGAAATTAAAAATTAGGTCACAGGGTCATCACAGGTCAAAATGAATCACGTTGGATACACTTTGAAAATACTATTAACTTGATTACCCGATTGTCTTTGTGAGCATCATGATCTGGCGCCTTGACCTCTTACCCGGAAAGGACACCCAACGAGATCTACCAAAGTTGTGACCCCTTGTCGCCCATAGAAAACGCATAACTTAATCCGTTCGAAGGTTAGATGACAAGATAGCCTACCGACGGACAGAGTCGATATAAAAGTGTTTCACTGTTAATACATTTATCTATTCCTTCACGAAATAAATACCCGTACAGATTGGAAATATCTTTGGACTTTTTAAAATGAAATTTGACAGTTTGCATTATTTTGATACTAAATAACCACTCATAAATATTTAAGGTTTCGCCCCTCTCGCCTTGTCGACCAAGAATGGGGTGAAATCCAGCTCTTACACTGCCCTTATTGAAGGAGTTGAAAACACCAATCCTAATTTGCGACCCTTGCGATATTCCCAGGTTCAGAAGGTACGTACATATGTAAATGCATATTTACAGGCTAAATACTTGCATATTTCACTATTTGAATTTACTCGTGCTGAATTTCCAATTAGGTTCTAATTAACGAAAACAAGGTCGCATACGGCGTGACATATTTGCGACACGGAATTCCCCAAATTGCTCACGCTTCACGAGAAGTCATCATCTCTGCGGGGGCTGTCCTTTCACCAATTATGTTGATGAAATCGGGCATTGGCCCTGCAAATACGCTTCAAGCTGCCAAAGTACGTATGCATTACTAGAGTTGTACGTATGGTTATTTATAATGTTAAGACCATTTTGGGAATTTATTGAACATTATCAGACATTAATTTAAATGCCCTGGAAATTTTTGGCATGAGTACAACTACAACTTACAATGGGAGTCTCCCAAAGTATGCTCACAGATTTGGATGAAACTAGCGTCGATCTATCACAAATATAATTAGTATGAAATTTGCAAATGGAACTATCTGCCAATGCGCAGGTTTGGCGGAGATATTTGCATCCAAAGCGGGAAAATGCACTGCAAATTTGGAAAATGAAAAATTTGCCAGCCTTGAGCGTGCGTTTTCTCCTCTTTTTATACAAATATCTCAGCTAAACTTGAGCATTGGGAAATAGTGTTATTTGCAAATTTCGTACTAATGATATTTGTGGTCGATCGACGCTAGTTTAATCCAAGTCTGTGAACATACGTTGGGCGACCTCCATTGTAAGTTATTACACTAATGCATACTTATGTATTCCATTCTTCGTTCGTACTACAGGTTTTTTTAAATCTTTTTAATATATCTAACACGATACATAGATCCCAATCGTGCAAGATCTCCCTGGAGTTGGACAAAATCTCCTGGATCATGCCGCCATCCATTTCAAATTTCAAATTCTTAACCCATCCGCAGCTCAAGCACTAAATCCACTATTGTCCGAATCTGGCTGGGAGGATGCATTTATCAAGTTGCAGGCTCCAGTGAGAACAGGAGCAGTTGTTGAAAACCTCCGTCACCAAGCGTTCGTGGTATCGTCTCGGGCAAGGCGAGAAAATGAAGGGCACTGGCCGGACTATCATTTATTTTTTTACATGGATCTTAAAAGTGGACTTGACACTAATGCAACTTATGTATGTATCATTTTTTGTCAGTTTAAGGTGCCCTTGGATGTACCATTGACTTTCCTCTACCTCGATAGCCAATATCTTTGAACGCGATTTTCTACTATTTCAATATAGGTTTTGGGATAAATGTAGGAACCTAATTATTTTTAATTAAAATTTAAAGCTAATTTTTGGAACTGGAAAACTTGCGTTTTGAGCAAGAATTGATAACTAACAAGGGAACATACCGAGGTGTCCAACGAGTTAAGGGTCGACACCTATACCAAAATGACCACAATACATGACTTATTAAACAAACTGAAGGAATTTCCGTGTAAAATTCACTTTTCGTCAAGTGGTGACGATATTTGTGACGAGCGCATGACCATCCGGTTGCCAGCGGGAGAGGTAGGCCGCTGAACGATCAGGTCGAAACAGAGAAGCGTCGTGGTCTTCAGAGATTTAACATTCTTTTAAATTTTGAAAACATTTTAAAGTTTTGAAAAAATTTTGAAATTTTGAAAAAAATTGAGGAAATTTTGAAATTTTGAGGAAATTTTGAAATTTCTCAAAATTTTTTCAAAATTTCAAAATGTTTTCAAAATTTAAAAGAATTTTAAATCTCTGAAGACGACGACGCTTCTCTGTTTCGACCTGATCGTTCAGCGGCCTACCTCTCCCGCTGGCAACCCGATGGTCATACGCTCGTCACAAATATCGTCACCACTTGACGAAAAGTGAATTTTACACGGAAATTCCTTCGGTTTGTTTAATAAGTCATGTATTGTGGTCATATTGGTATAGGTGTCGACCCTTAACTCGTTGGGCACCTCGGTATGTTCCCTTGTAAGTTGTCACTTACTCACAGTTAATTTGTTCAAAAATTAATTAACTATCTAGTTGTTTCCAAACGAACAGTTTTGTAGTGAACTTTAGATTTGAAATGTAAAAAATAGCGTTTATCTCAAAACTCCAGTCATGTAGTAGAATTGCCCATGTAAAGATATTGGCTAGGGGGTAGGGTAATATGAAAGTCAACGACATGAATCACCCAAGACCACCTTAACCCCGGGGATAGGTGCGTAGTTAACAGCATAGCGTAGCATGTACAATTTCTCGCAGATTAATATCAATGTGGAATTTGGGAGGCCTAAATCCAGAGGGTGCGTCATTCTGAATACTTACGCGCATTCTTCTGGGGAAATAGACGATGAGAAATTGGTCAGTCTTGACTTGGGAAGTTTGACAGATCCGACCGACATAGATGTCCTCCTTGAAGGTTGATATTAATAGATATTTAGATAAAAATAATTTATTACAGCAAACATGAGGAGTAGCTATTAAAATTAGGTTATTTCCAAATGTTATATAGGCATTCGCCTCATTTTCAAGATTTCGAAGACAGCTGCGTTCCAGGCATTGAATTTAAAGTACGTACCCGATGTCCCAACACCATGTAAATTGCACAACTTTGACTCGGACGAGTACTGGAGGTGCTACATCGTGCAGACGTCAAGCTCAGCGTGGCATTTGTCAGGATCTTGCATAATGGGCGGGAGAGATGATCCACTGGCCGTGGTAGACTCGGAACTAAAGTAGGCTAAAAACATGTTTCATAGTATTTAGTAAATGTATGTATTGGGGGTATTCGTTACGGGTTAGCGTACTTAGAAAAGGTCGCAAAAGCCAAGCTTGCAAAAAATCTTGGTTTGAAAATTCATTCGCGAAATTGCGCATCTCCAAAACTGCTATTGAATTTTTTGTCAAAATTATTTTGCAAAGTCGTAATGAATGAATACCCTCTTAATTTATGTGCGCATCACAACCATAGCTCGCAATAAATTGGTCCCTGGTCCCTGGTCCCCGAGGGACCATCTAAAAAAATTGTCCCTGGTCCCTGGTCCCCGGGGGACCATCGAAAAAAATGGTCCCTGGTCCCTGGTCCCCGAGGGACCATCTAAAATAATGGTCCCTATTCCCTGGTCCCCGGGGGAGCATCTAAAAAAATGGTCCCTGGTCCCCCAAGGGACCAGGGACCACCATGTTAAACTCCCATTTGGGGACCAGGGACCATGGTCCCCTAAATGGTCCCTGGTCCCCCAGCTCATGGTCCCTGGTCCCTGGTCCCCGGGGGACCATCTGAAAAACTGGTCCCTGGTCCCTGGTCCCCGAGGGACCATCTAAAAAAATGGTCCCTGGTCCCCGAGGGACCAGGGACCAGGGACCATATTGGTCCCGAGGACCATGGTCCCCTGCGAGCTATGATCACAACTAATTTGTTACAGGGTGCGTGGAGTGTCGCAATTACGCGTCGTGGATGCAAGCGTGCTGCCAACTTCGACGAATGGAAACACAAATGCACCCACGCTTCTCGTCGCGGAGAAAGCAGCCTGTCAAATACTTCGGGATTACTTGCAACCATATAGCGATCCTAATTTCTGTCCGTTAGATAATCCCGGTTATTTTAAGCCATTTGGTAAATAATATATGTTTGTGTTTGTCAGCTTGTTTGGATAATAAATATTTAAGGGTAACAATATCCACTCGAGCCGAATTTTTCAGTTAAAAATATTTGTTCAAGTCGGATAACCGATAGTATTTATTGCCCTCACATAAACTCAAGATTAGACATTTTAGCTCATCTACATATATCACCGATAAGGACACGATATGCATGATATCCACCACCGGAATTACTTATTCATAGTAAACAATTGAGAAGATTTCCAATCGGAACGACTACCCCTTCCCCGACGACGATTAGTAAACTCGGGAAGTTTATCCACTAATCCTAAATGATAAATTTGTGTACATGTAAGTCATCCCCTCTGCATACTAAATAAATAATAAATTGCATATATATAGATGTATGTACAGAAGTATGTATCTATGTACATATATATGTACGAGCGTGATGACGAGTTAATGCGACAGCGGGGCAAGAAAGCGATTACACTAATCATAAATAATTTCATGAATCCCATCAAGTTATGAAAATGTCCAAAAAATAAATAATCTACAGATTACATACATGCTTCGAACGAATAATTACTAAATAAACCGTCGCAAACGCGCATACGGAAGTAGCTTCAGACGTACTTCACCCCAAACGGTCCCACCACAACTCGGGAACACTTAATTTCACTCTATTTCACCTATAGATTAATTTTTTGTAAAAATCTCATTTTGCCCCGACCACACCCCCTGGCGACGAGGGGGTGTGGCACAACTCCGGAACACATAATTTTACTCTATTTCACCTATAGATTAAATTGCACTAAAAATCTCATTTTGCCCCAACCACACCCGCTGGCGCCGAAGGGGTGCGGCAAAATCGGGGAAACACTCAATTTCACTCAATTTCACTTAATTTCATTTAATTTCACTCAATTTCACTTAATTTTACCCATAGAATAAATTGCACTAAAAATCTCATTTTGCCCCAACCACACCCCCTGGGGCCGAGGGGGTGTGGCACAATCGGGAAAGCACTTAATTTCACTTAATTTCACTTAATTTCATTTAATTTCACTCAATTTCACCTAATTTTACCCATAGATTAAATTGCACTAAAAATCTCATTTTGCCCCAACCACACCCCATGGCGCCGAGGGGGTTTGGCACAACTCCGGAACACATAATTTTACTCTATTTCACCTATAGATTAAATTGCACTAAAAATCTCATTTTGCCCCGACCACACCCCCTGTCGCCAAAGGGGGTGTGGTCCGGTTGCCCCCAAAAGTTGATAGGATCCTCCCCCTGGGGTCCTATGTATGATGGCGAAAACCGATTTCGATTATCTCGATCCGTTCTCCTGATATCCTGCTGACAGACAGAAGGACAGACAGACAGACAGACAGACAGACAGACAAAGTCTTCACATAAAGTAGCTGAAGCTACTTAATAATATGATTGTAGATACGGCCGTGGCCCGGATTAGTCGGAATCCTTATGATTCAATCAATAAGATAATACTAATTTGTAATCCGATTTTCATCTTCATAATTCATTTAACTCATGTTTATTCTATGGACAATGTTACAACTCGTAATAAACTAACTATGTATGTGTAATTACACGAATAGTGTTTTAAATACTTTAAAAACTACCGCCTAAATTTTACCCAAGCCATTTTTGATAATCTTGATCAGAACATGGTTGCATCCCTATGGGTCCATTTAAGGCGTTGTACAGACAATAATTAGTGTCCAGATTTCTTGTTTTTAGGTCTCCAGTTAATCCAACTGACCACATTTGACTCCTAATATCGTAGCAAGTCTCCGTGTAAACCTGCGTCCCGTAAGATCCGAGGCATTTGTTCGTACCCAGGTTGACGATCCAGGTTCCCGTCCAATTCCACCGTTGGCTGGGCATACAGGAACATGGACGCGGATAAACGGCACCGTCGCCGTCAGTTTCAAGACATTGGTTAGTTTTCTGGTTCACGAAATTTCTCACCCCAACATTGCAAGCTTGGCTGGAGGCAATCAGGGAAAAAATTGCAATGGCGTGCAAGAATTTCCACTTCATGCTAAATAAGTTATTGGACACAATTAAATACTTTAAATTAGTTAGTTAGTTAAGCTAGAGAAAATATTTATTAAATTGAACTTACTTGTATTTTGTATGCATCAGCGCTGAGAAAGGTTCAATAAATACGGATTAATTTAATATGGGTATATTAAAGCCTGTTAGGCCTGTTTTATTTATATGCGGCCACCAACCCAAAAATTAGCAGGAAGCCGAGAGGGCTTTCCATGAAAATATTCATCCTTCATGAAATTTATCCTCTCATGTTTATCAAATTTATCTCTCAAGAAAGAGGGATAAGTACATAACTAAATTAATTTGTTTTGTTAAGATGAACATTGAGATTGAGCAAAAACAAGTCCACATACGTAAGCGATCTGTAGCACGAAACTAATCCCAAGTTGAGGTTTGGGGTACACTCGTTTTTCATACGTCATACATACGTACATACATATTGTTAAGACCCCGAAATCGGCATACATCTTTAACTAATAATAGCTGATATTGCACTTATTGTATGACATGCATGCGAGAGAACGTGGAGATTATGTGTTAATAGCCCAAGCCTTATCAATGCTGACGAGTGAAGACACGAATCAATGAATGACTGAGTCATCTTCTTGACCCAACGTTTAATTCATTACTTATGTAAAGTTAGATCTGTTTAGCAACTAGATAACATCATACGACATCCTGTTGTTTTTGTACAATCGACATTATTGCGAACACTAGATCTTTATTCAATCATGGAACTTGGACTCCACACGACTAAATTAAGTGAGATGATACAATGTTGTTCTCATTGGAATATTGGAATGACCTACCCATTTTTGTGTGATAATTGTGCAACGACGACCCGCGTAATGTACGGATGATAATGATAATGTAGAATTACTTGCCTTTTAATTAATCCACTTTTAATTATTACGACAATCACTTTTAGTTTAGCAATCCTGAATTGTGCAGGATTTTAGTTTAGTTACGAGTTGAGAGTGAAGATGTGAACTACTTCTTTTCTCATTTAATAAATCATCCAATACAACCTCAACGGGAATGTGAGACTAATAATTATTACGGGTACTTTGTATAAAACCCCACAAGAATCAGTGCATCAATTTTGTGTGTTAACAATATGATTAAAATTAATTATGTCGATCTATTCAAGGAGTAGATGGTAATACATGTAAATGCCTGCATTTTATGTATTTATCGGTGTAAGTGAAATTAAACCAATGGTTCACAACTCTACATCGAATTATTCACTTCCCATGAAAGATCTGTCATTAATTTCAATTTTTAATGGAATTCGCAAACTTTATGGAAATGAGGATTTAGATCGATTTAAGTCATTTATTTAAGCGTATTGGCATTAGTACTTTTCTGCGTAAATGCATACATACATATATGTATGTACATATAATGATATTATTAACCAGATATGTACAAACATATTTAGATGCAAACATATCTATTTCTATAATTTTATTCGTTACATGTATGCGTAACGTGATCTTTAAGATGTGACCCAAACTATTCAAGTTTTATTTCTCTAAGGCGACAATGAATTTATAAAGACTTTTCAAATTTTAGTCGACATGTATTTACAGTACGTAAACAATTATGTACGTAGAGCCTTAGTTCTGTCCTTGACCGCTTTTAGTATACATATGTGAATGGTGCATTACAAATTATTAAATACATAAGTATGATTAAGATGTAAATGGAGAAATCTCATTCAAAAATGTATCTCTTAGCTAGTAAACAAGTAAATAGTTCCTAAATTCTATATGCACATGTTTATGTAAGTACATGTTCATATAATTAGCTCGTCAAATACCGTACATTACTCAAACCACTAACAAATTGCGTCATTCCTTTGTTTCAGAACATATGCAAGTCGTGCATTGCATAATAGGCAATTAGATATCTACATATTCATACATGGATGTATCATTTAAATAATCCTCGCTTTATTCCATCTTCATCACCATCAATTATCAAAATTTTGAAAATTATAAAATCCATTAAAAAATCCAGTAATAAACACAGCAACATCAACCATAATAAAGTGTTAAGTTTTTCATAATTTTTAAACCCGGAAATTATACGGTCTTGTGTAAACGGTTTGTCTGTAGTAACGGTTTCCACCGGAAGGTGCGGCACCACCCCCACTGCTCCCACCACTGCTCCCACCACCCGGTGGAAGAAGTGGTCCCTGCAAGGGCGAGTATGGCTTATCGCTCGGAAAATGAGCCACTGTCTTCTGCACAGGTTCATACTGCAAGTTAACGGTTGGCGTGCCCTGTTGAGATTTGATGTCGTCCTTCTGCGCCTCGTAGGACTGATCGGGCTTCTTCAACTTCAAGTTGATCTGGGTGCCTTGGCCTTCTCCGGGTTTGAAACCGGCCTTGATGAGTTCTTCAATCTTGTAGTTGGGGATGTCAACGTCGATAACTTGCTTCTGTCCGTTGGGTCCTTCCAGCCATAAGATGTGTTCTGAACGGAGAGAAATTTGGGAGGGGTCGACCCCTTCACAGGAAAATTTAAAGGATCCCGATCCTGGCGAGGACTCTTGTGATTTGCATTGAACTTGTAAATTTCCTCCGGCCGCACCACCGCTACTTCCGGTATCGCCCCCAGCACTACCGGAACTGGGGACAAATCCGCCAGAACCTGAAGACTGAGATGAGCTGCTATAACTTGGTGATGGAACGAATGGTGGGGGTTGTGCTACAGCAGGGGCGGCTGGTTGTGGAGCGGCTTGCTGAGGGGCAGGACCTGAGTTGTCATGGTTACAGAAATGACAATTTATGTGTATTTTATATTTTATCAATGTTTTAATAAATAATAAATTTCCAAAAAAAAACTACAATTTATTAATCATATTTACTAGTGAGTTGTGTCATACATACCTGCACTGGCATAATTTGGAGCGGGAGCACCACCACTCCCCCCACCGGTAGAAGGGCTACCCCCACCACCGCTATACGAACCACCACCGTATTGCGGATTTGGCATGGTCGCCACCACACCCACCGTCACCAGGAGAAGAATTACTCTCTGAAAAAAAGAGATTGGAAACATTACATATTTTATCTGGTAAAAATATTCCTAAAATTTTGCACACCTTATCCATCATGGAACACGATTTTTCAAAATCTGTCTTCAAATAAAATCCAAACAATGAGATGATGAGCACGCTGAATGAATGTTGAATGGAGCATTGAGAACGGCTTAAATACACTGTATCTGAGGTAACAAAGAGCTTTAATTATCTGGTTTAAATACAAATTGCTCTCAATTAACGTAATGATGCGTGGAACGAGTATGAAGAAGAAAAGGAAATCTGTGCCAGTGCCGAATTGGTCAACCTGTCTGCATTATGAATTCCTCAGACGAGACGTTACAAAATTATGGATGCGTACAAATTTGCGAACCTCTGCAGAATTGAGTAACAGAGTAATACTTTATTATTTGATTTGAGAAATGTTAAACGTTACATAAGTGCGATAAATACTAATTATTAGATATACGTACGTATTACTCGTACTTTTACCAGCGGGGTGTCATAAATTAAATTACGGTACAATCGTTGGGAGAAACTGGAATGACCAGAAGTGTTAAATTATCTATGCACATACATACATAGAAACATATTTAACTTATTTTGACGTTTTCATAATTTCATTTTTACGAGCTTTTTCTAAGGTTAGGGATTTTTAAATGTACGACTCCTTTGTAGTCAGCTTTTCCCACGTGTAATGTGTATGACATGATAACGCGTGTGCAATTATAATGTGAAAATAAATGAAAAATAGAAACATATTTCGAATTTCGAATATTTCGAATACTTATCGACTCCGAGATCATCTTGACGCAGTGAGGTTTATTTATACATAAATTCAGAATTATGTAAGTACAAAAGAGTGTACCAAAACTGTAATTGAATTTCGCTTGTAAGTAATTTACCTAGTTTGTCATAACCTGAGTAATTTATGCATTGTAAGTTTATGTAACAGTTTCTTAAGTTTCTTATCATAAACGGGGATCAATAACATTTTAGTCTTTAGAGGCTAAAGTCTGAACAAATATGGGGCGATAATCTTCTTATATTTGCAACCTTTTACACGTTTCTGTTTGAGAAACGTGTAAACAATTTGTTAACGTTTGCATTAATTTTCGGAATGTTGGACTTATCCATTTTATCTAGTATGTATATATCAACAGGTGACCGTCCAAGCATTGCCTGCGCTTTAAGCAGTCTGCAAACCCTGCACGAAATGGAAGGACTTAGGTGTCATCTTACGGCTGGCAAATGTGGCTATGGAGTCAAACCACTTCATTGTTTTGTCATTGTTTACTCAAGGCATACTAAATATTTATAACATATACAAAGGCCATCGAAATTTGAGTGTAGCCAGAATGCCGCTTTCCTCCCAGAAATAATTTTCTTTCACTCTTACAAAAGTATAAAAGATATTAAGGAGTCCACGCAAAACTGCCACATTACAACTGACGTTAACCTATCAAAATATCTGCCGCCTCCCATACCCACTTTTAATGGTTGGCATGATTTCAAAAATTTCCTCCTCCAATCATCCCTTCCCCCCAACCGGTTGAAATTACTGACAAACTCCACCGAACTCAGGTATGGCTTACTCAATGCGCGCAGAGTGATATGCATGGCAAAAAAACAATCTATCAACGACATCGTAAACAGAAGCAAGACAGCCAACGGCAATTTATCCCGGCACATGATAATTGCGTAAAGTGACGCAATTTCGGTATCAATTACAAAAGAGAGCACCAAACCAGTGATTAGATTCCGCTTAACGTAATTTAGCACGTTTTTCATAACCTGAGCAACCCTGTATTGTTCCAATTTTGTTCTATTAGAGAAGAACGTGTCCAATTTTGACTGCCTGCAAATTTGAATCCAAACTGAAATTTCTCCTCGAAAAACGCAATAAGTCGTGTATTTACAGAATACCTGTCCATTTGATTTATCCACAACTCCATTACGATTGACGGATACACCATCACGACGGCGATCGCCATCACGAGGGGAGAGACAAGCAGGTAAAACGCATGAGCAAGCATTAGTCCGTTAACAAGTCGACCTGGCCATGGCCAACTTTGATCCATCCAACCGTTCGGGCAAGAATAGAACAAAACGCTTCCGATAGATGGAGGGCCACATGGGACAAAAAAACCGCTAGCAAACATGGAAAGCGATGCGCCAGGGAGGGAGATGGTTCCCATATTTATGCAAATAAGGAGGGGCAGATTCACATAGTTTCTAGAACCTGTAAATTCATGCATGCATGCATGCATTCATTCATAAATATCAGTATCAATCTTTTTTCTTAGGTGAGGCAAATGAGTAACCTAGCGACCACCAAAAAATAGGGTCAAAGGTTACCGGGCGAAGCCTAAGTATGCATTCGTACATACCCTTCTAAAATGTCGACAAGGCCAGTGCCTAAACTGCTCATCGTAGACCAAAAGTGTGAAAGCAAAAGTTGCAGACGATATTAAGGAGCAGTTGTTTTTCAGCTTTCCCCATAAACAAAAGTTTTTTATTTCGGTCCCAAATATCGATTTTAAAGTTTAAAATCATTATTTGACCCGCTTTTACCAAGTGAATAGTCGAATATTAATTGATTTTATGGTGTGCCGTTCAATTATGCAAATTTTGATACCAAAAACTATAAAATCCAACGAAAACCCGCAAAGTTTTCGTTGGATTTATTTGGAAATCATCCTTAATGTCTTGCCTACCAAGGCAATTGTAAAAAATAAAAGTTTTAATTGTGCCTCAATTAAGTAAATTTTTAAAAATTGTCTTGTTGTACGAGTCACCTCACTTGCATAAATCTCACTATGCCCATTTTGGCGATACGTGCTGAACAAACTCTTGGTCTGTCGCGAATACATGAAAATATACAAATGGTCCACCATGGACCAATTTATTGCGAGCTATGCAAATGAGGTGGCAGCACAAAAATTCAAAAACATATGTGCAATAAGTTACATACATACAGTATGTAACTTATTTAATGCTACGATTTTTAATTTCAAATTCAACTTAAATTTTACGAGAACAGGCTGATATTTCAAAATTGTTTTCATACCAATTATTCACCATATATTGGACTACATTGATGCAAATTTTCAAAGTAATGGAGATAAAACTGTGAAATCGGCAAATATTTTAATATCAAAATATTGCGAATTGAACGTTACATAATTAATGCTACGGGGGTATTAGCGGTTCAATATTTCGTCAGACCCCAATAACTGATTGAAATCGTTTGGTAATCTAATCCACAAACCCTTCGGTTACGCTACGGTCGATGTTTGTTAACTTTTCTGTGATGACGGGTGTGCCGGGGAGCCGTGCTTGTCAGTTTTAATGTTGTCACCAGACGCTGCAGAATTTTTGGGTTATGATCGATCGAGTTGAGGTCAAGAAATTTGAAATTCAGTCCAAAACCTTTGTATCATTGTCCTTGATGCATTTTGAGATGATTTTTGTAATATTTGTCTAATATGCGACGTTTCTGAAAATAAATCTCTGAGCAAAGTCTGTCTTTGTTGAGAATTGGCCAATATTTATTTCTAACAAATCAAGGTAAACCTCTTTGGTCATGATAACAGCGACGCACGTCAATGTTACTACACTGAGGCAACATAAACTGCCCCAAAACTTTATCTCCCTGCAAGATTTCGAAAGTTTCACATCAGGATTTGGCGGTACAAATAGCCCTGATTTCCTTATCTCTGCTATGTTTAATAGCTTGTCTCAGAAATCAATTTCTTAAGACTTATTTGGGCTCCTTCCGCACTCTTATCGTTCCATCTGAGCTAAAAAGTTTAATTAGGGTCTAATCTGAGAACAAAAATTGTTTCCGGTAGCCATGGGATCATCTTCTCTTTACATTGCCCACGCACAGCGTTTCTTGTGATTATTCGCTAAGGTGTATTGTGTGGAATTTGGAATTTCCCCAGATATTCCTGCGAATATCAGCCTGTGTCTAATCATTCATAGTTCTACAGCAGTAAAACGGTCACTTTGAACATCTTTCACAATTTCTGGTGCGGACAGACAAGCATCATTGTCACTGTTTTTACAATCGTCGCGTGCGGGTGTGGTGTTTTACCGGGTTTACGACCCTGACGGTTACAATTCGCTACAGGTCCTGTAGTTTCCGTTTCTCCGGTGAGCCTTGGAACAGATCCTGCGTGTATTTTAAATTGTATCCAAAGTTTCCTTAAAGTTAGGCGTTATTAATGGAGGGAGGTCACTTTCCCAATACTTTGATATTGAGAACGGTGTCCTTTGTTATTTATTTATTTTAACTCGGCAGATTATTTTCATTTGTAGCAGAAATACTACAGAATTGTTTATCCGTTCGAAATTCTGCTCTGTATTTAGGAAAGACTGCAAATTTGTACCGGATGTGTATCGTAGCATTAATTATGTAACGTGCCATTCGCAATATTTTGACATTAAAATATTTGTGTATTCTACAGTTTTATCTCCATCCCTCTGAAAATTGGCCTCAATGTAGTCCAATATATGGTGAAGAATTGGTATGAAAACAATTTTGAAATATCAACCTGTTCTTGGGAAAATTGAAGTTGAATTTGAAATTAAAAATCGTAGCATTAAATAAGTTACATACTGTAAGTATGTAACCAGCACAAGTTTCCGATACCCATAGCAATACATCGTTTCTCCATCCTAAGCGAATTTTCGAGCAAATTTTTAAGCTCATTTTTCCGAACGTAGAACTCAATTTGAATTATGCACGGAATGTTGATACCCATGAAGAAGCATATTACGACTAGATTTTCCCAAACGGGGTGAGATTGTCCAAAGAAATTTTTATAAAACCAAAAATCAAAGGTTAAAACGTAAAGTAGGTATGCTGAGAAGGACAAGTAATAAATTATTTTCTGGCGCAGGTTTTGCAGGAGGTTGAACTCGCCCTTAATTGATCCCAGTCGAATTGGAATACAACAGGAATTAAGGGACCACTTGGCTAATGTGACCATTGTTGGTAAATATGATTTATGGACCTCGGGAAGTTTGAAGTGGACAAACTGGTGTACCATCTTGGAAAATTTATAACTTTTTTTGCACGAAATAGAAATTACTAAATCGTAATCCGGTTTTTCATGCAATGAGTTGTATTTGGTTTATGCCGTGCTTTATATAAGTGTAAGTATGTACATACATGGG